GTAGATTATTCATTGACAGACGATCTGAATTACATTTCTGGGAAGGGTGGTTTCTCCCATATGTATGTAAATGTAATGATTTATTTCATGATATTTTAGTAGCAATATGTTGTATACAGGGAAAGACGGCCATAAGACAACATACAAGCGAGAATGGTTGATTGAAAATAGTTACTGTGACAAAAGAAGTGAAATGGTTACACCCACGTATTGGAGTTCAAATCAGATGAAGAATAAGTTCCCCGTGATGAACTACAACGATCATAATACTGAAAATGGTTTAAAATCATCTATAAAGAATTTGTTACGATATGGTTTTACAGTTGTTGATGGGGTAAGATGGCAGCTTAGAATGAAATCCAGTGGCGAATTTAGGCGGTAATTTTTGGGCCATGCCCACCCCTCGGGCCATAATTTCATTTGATTTTCGGCTTCTCACATTACAAATCCCCCCCCCCCCCTCCTCTATGACTGGCACCCTCTAGAATTCGCAAAGGGACGCCGGGCGCTCGGAATCACCGCCTCTCTCGTCAATGGATTCTTCGCTAAGCCACTGACCAATTCAAACATGGACATAAAGTAGTTAAGTAATATCTACAAAGGGCCTCTTTATAATCACAATAAATTTACTATGTTTTGTTCAAGGTTCCATTGTCAAAACAAGATACTAAAAATGTAGCAGAGAGAATATGTTTTATATTAGATACAGTTTTTGGTAAACTTTGGAGTTTTACATCTGACGGTGAAAGAGCCGATACAGCGTACACTAATGACGGTATCGGTGCTCATACTGATACTTCATATTTTACTAATCCAGCAGGGTAGGTTGATTAATATCAGTATCTGAAAAGCAACTGAATTTAAGAACAGCTGGCATCCGGGAGAATCTAATAGATCGCATTATACAACAGAAAAGTCGCAGGTCCCATCAGTCTGTTGACAGATGCCCAAATTGTAGCAAATTCGGATCTTGTAGTTAAAATCTGCAATCATCGGATTGATCGTAGTTACTTCTCATTATGAGAGTTGACTGTGGCGGATCTGATGGGATGCTAAGTAAAGCCAGTCGTTTTTAGCCCTCATTAGATTCAAGTGAAAATTCAAAGGGTAAATTTGTCAAGAAACTTTATTTAGACATTAGGTTGTATCCCTTGGGTAGAGCTGAAAGGGAAATGGCAACATCAAGGTAGGATGACATAATGAATTATCATTAAAGGGTTCCTCGAGGATACACTACGGCTCTCTGGTGCTTATAGACTTAATTCCGATTTGAATTACCTCTATGTAAGCCTGTGCTCGTGCTTTCGTAACATTAGCAATGTTACAACCTAAAATCCATGTAAAAGGTATTATTGACATTGACACCAAGAAGTGGATGGTTGATTATGGTCTTTTAATTTCAGAGTTCAGTTTCTACATTGTTTAGAACATACCGGTGAAGGTGGTAGTACATTATTAGTTGATGGTCATAATGCTGCTTACCAAGTATTAGATGAATCGCCCGAAGACTTCAATATACTAACAGAGACTATCGTACCTCATGAATATATAGATAAAAAACTAAAAGATCATTATTATAGTACTGGTACTGTTCTCTCATTATGTCCTTTAACTAAAAAACTCCAGAATATCAGGTAATAACCAAAACACACCAATAATTCATAATTTTTTTTTTATCGTGTCTTGTCTGTAGGGTCCTATTCAGTCTTCGTGAGCGCGAGAAGAATTTTAAATTCGTTTGATTTGCATGCATCTATTATCTTATACGTGTGTGCCATTTGGACTATCCAACACTGACTATAACACTATACAAATACAGTGCAAGCACAAACGTGTAATATCAGTACGTACTATGGGAGATAAGTATACGATTATTGGCAGTGCTACAACAGGAATATTGTAACGACGCATTACCCGTCATTGTCAATTCCACGACTTAAAACACTTGTAGATATTGACCAAGTTGACACATTTTAGGACATAAACCACTAATGCAAGCTCAAGATAAGTATTTTTGAAAATGTATTTCAGGTTTAACAGATATGATATGGCACCATTAATTACTATACCACCAGAAAAAATAAATAAATTCTATACAGCATATAACAGACTCGAGTCCAGAATTATCTGTTCCTCCAATGAACTTTGGTTCCAACTTCAACCTGGTATGGTGTTATTTTTTGACAACTGGCGTTTACTTCATGGTCGTTCAGGATTTACTGGTAGAAGAGAAATGTGTGGTGGCTATCTGGGTAAAGATGATCTATCCAGTGTTCATCGTAGATTTCATTTACTGTAGACAGACCTTACTATCATGTTAATTAGTATATAATTTTTGCCAGTAAGCTAACACAGGAAAAAAATTGGCCGAATCAACCCTGTTACATTGGGTAAAAAAAAATACTTTACAATACATTGCATGTAACTTTAGCACTGTTTGCAGCAAAGAAGAGAGAGTAGTCCATTATTGTCTTTTTGAATATTGATAAACACTTTATGGATTCTAAAAGAAATAAATCCTCAGCCTTCCAATTGAATTTTGGGCTCCCATGTTTGTCCCATAACAGTATTTAAGAAACCCCAGAGAATACTCTGGAATGCTAATTATCTACAACACATAAAAAGGACAAGCAAGTGAAAAATAAATTTCCAACCCTAGCCATCAAGTGTTTAATAATTGAATTAAAATAAATGAAGATCAAGATTTGTAATTATCACACTCAACAGTTGATATTTTATTTACATTATTTATTGTTTACCAACAAATCTAACAATAGACTGCTGGTAAAATAAATAAAACATATAATTTAAGTAGTATTTATGAAATATTGTACACTCGCTGAGATATATTATCATGAAAACTAATGTTAATAAATATGCACTGACTGATATGTACTAGCTATAAGCTGAAGGTTGAACGCGTGTGTGGTGTTTAAGTCCAAGGTTAAATTCTACCCCATGATATATTTGGATCTAATTTAGAATTCATGTCTGATTGGATAATAACCTTTGAGCTGAACACCATACATGAATTCATTCTCATTTAACTTAGACTTAGGTTTATTCTTTTATTCTTCATATAAAATTCAAATCATCTTGAACCATCTTTACTCTTATCATTGTAAGTTGTTTTAAATTCTAAATGAAAAATTTAGAGCATGAATGTTATAAGTCATTGCACTAGTTTAATTATCATATCTAACCTTTATTCAGATTTAAAATAAACCTGGAATAACTTCTTACTTTGCATTTAAGACTATAAGAGATCAGGCTTGAAATGACCGAGAGAACACTTGTCATAAACGAATCTTGCACAAACTTTCTATTAAGCAGTAACATAAGTTAAAGTTGGATACTGTTTTCAAGAGTAAAAGAATAAACAATAAGTTATTAGTAATTGACTATTGAAAGCTTTAGCACCAGGTGATATAATATAGGCTTATAATAAAATATTGCAAATACTTACAAATTCTGTTCTAATAACAGACAAACAAACAAGGAGCTAAGATTAAAGTTTGGAAGCACTAATATCAACTGTAATGACTTAATCAAGCTGTGTTTTTGTAAATTTTTGTTTTGCTTTTTCTTTCAAATTTCAAACTAATCATAGAATAATAACTTTTAACAGCACAAAATAAACTGCTTTCCTATCAAGCACTAACACAAAGCATTAATGAAAAAAAAAATAAGTTGACGAAAATTAAGTCATAACATGCAGTTATTTATACAGATGAAAACAAACAAAAGAAACAATTATGCATAAAAGTGTAGAACTCTAGTCCTAAGCTAACCAGCCACTCTGAACACAACCAAACTAAACTGTATATTATTAAACATCAATTCGAAAATTCTTAACTTTTTTAGAGAGATAGTTTAATACCATTGTTTACATTGATCACAACAGACCTGTTGTCAAAATTTTACATTACTATATTATGTTATGGCAAGATATATATTGAAAGATGGTACAGAAATGAGACAGAAATCAGTTGTACCTCAGACTTGGTTTACATTGCATACTAGTAATATCTGCTTGAAGTAGAGAGTGAATGAAATTTCAGTTACGTATGAAACAAATCGACAGAATTTCAAAAAAGAAATAAACACAACCAATTGATGTAATACACCAAAAAATTCTTCCACTAAGATCATTTGTTAGTCATTATTTATATTATCTTGTAATAATTTCTGTTAATTCAGTTAAAAATATCCCCAGCTTATGCTTGAAGCAAGATCAAAATACATAATGACTCAAAAAATGACTTGATTAAGGCCACATGGATAAGAAATCTACAACACACAAAAAGGAGTTTTTCTCCAAAAACATTGTTCATTTCACCTTTCAGATTCAAAAAATAACAAAACTGATAACAATTGAACATGAACTAATCACAAGAATTAATAGTTTATTATTGTTTAAATATAACACACAATACTCAACTCACAAGTCCTTATCTTTGTTATTTAATACACAAATATTGGTCATATAACTACTTTGGTTTCAGGTATTTCTGATAGCACACTGTTTATCTAACTACTAGATATTGGATTCTAATAAAACATCACTCGAAAATTGGATAGGATACAGCATCTTTCTGGTTGATTTCGTCACTTGAACTTGGGTTTGGTCTTTAAAAATAGTAATAAGGACACGAAAACGAGATATTGTCAATAAATTTGATCATGCAAAACACGACAATAAAGTGAGTATCACTGACCGATACAGTCAATATAGATAACTCATGACATAATGTTGAAAAAGTCTTTGTTCGGTAGAAATGTCAATTGATAACAAGTTTTCAATATTTAAAGAAAACCACACTATTAGTTACTCTGAAATTAACAGTAAATATGAGACAAGCTTTCCTCCATTCTGTCCCATTGTTTACATCTGGTGTTAATCTGCTAGAGATGGGGTTGCTAGATGAACACTAACAGTATCTTAAGAGATCTCTTTCTATTCTCCATTCACCAGTTCTTCTTTCTTAGCTGGTGCTTTGTTTTTGCCTTTCGAATCTGAGTCGCTACCACCTGTATTAACTGGAGGCTTATTATATTTCTGGCGTGATTCTCTTGGTTCACGTTGTGGTTTGCTATCAGATCTTGACTGAGTTGACTCAGGTTTAGAGTTGCTCTGACCATTAATATTTCTATCAGCAGTAGAATCAGTGGTAGTGGTATTACGATTACCTTGATATCCATCAGTTTTAATAGAACCTGTAGAATGAGATGGTGGTAATCCTCCACGACCACCACGGTAAGGTGGTGGGTTACTGTATCGACTGGTACGATAGTTAGATACACTAGTATCTGTTTCAGTACCACTAGCAGCACTACCATTACCTCTCATTTTATTCTTTCTTCTTCTTCGCCTTCTGTCTGTTCTATCTCTTCTTCTATCTAAATCTAAAATCAAATATCACATTGTTTAGTAGTACCATATACTCATACATCTCAATTCGACAACTTAGTTTACTGGCTATAATTTTGACTAATCTGAATTTTGTAGACCTTATTTTGGACTAGGTTTGGTATCAATTCAGAAAGTCTACAACTGATTGAATGTTTCATTGTAAATATGTGAAATCTGAATTATCTAAATAAAAAATTGGATAGCATACCTCCATCTTGACTATTGACACTTGCATTATCTAGAACTGTATCATCATCATCAGTCATTCTTCTTCTAGATCTATTATCTCTAGAATCATCATCATCATTAACTATAATAAATATTATCTAACATCAATTCTTCCCTAAAAACTACACTTTCTTGTGTTAACAGCATTTAAATACACAAACAATACTTGTTTACTGGAAGTTATGTCTTTAATGGCTGTGCTTACTCTATCTGTATAGTTTTATTGGTTCAAGTGAAATCTGGATTAAGGATCAGCACTCAGCAGTGAAATTACCCAGCCATCCAATGGGAATTACATGCCAACAGAAACTTTATGTGGGATTTAACATGCAAATGATTGTTCCATTCAAAAACAAGCCATGCTTTAAAGAGTTCAATGATGTAAGAAATAGTGGTATATACGTCTGTCCAGTTTTGTCATTAAATCTAAATATCAAATAACCTACATCTATCAGAAGTATAACCATTTCTAGTAGAATAATCTCTGTCACGCCATGAATTATCTAAAGTAACATAATAAACATTATCTCTGTTAGTATTAACATTATCATAAACATTATCTCTGTTATTATACACATAATCATAAACATTATCTCTGTTATTATACACATTATCATTTACATTATCTGTGTTAGTATAATCATTATCTCTATTAGAATAAACATGATGTCTGTTTGATTAAATATTATCTCTGTTAGTATAAACATTATCAGAAACATTATCTTTGTTATTACTAACATTTCCTCTACTCGTATTTTTCCATTCAATTTCAGCGTTAAATTGTAGTTTTAAAGTATGCATAGTAAGTTACATGCTTAAAAAAAAACAGTTCAATCTTTCACAATGTATAACACAATTTTCATACTACAGCAATGTCACCAAGATGAGTCTTCATGTAGGAAACTAATACAAGCAAATGACTACATATCATGCAGTTTCACCCTATTTAACTGATACACTTGCAGTTGCTTCTCTTTCATTATGAAAATTAGCCACAAATGGCCATTATAAATAGTGATCAATCAGTTGCCTATCACACAAAAAAAAAAACTCAGAAACCAAGCAAATTCTGAAATACCTGAATCTCTTCTAAATGATGAGTAACCACTATATCTTCCACGCCCCCTGCCCCTTCTATAGCCACGCCCTCTACCATTTAATACACTGTCAGTTAAATAACCAGCTTGTCGTCTTTCTTCTGCCAAAACTTCAGCTGTCCAATCACCAACATTCTCATGATCCTCAACTATAAAATACACATAATAACAGATTAGCATCTAATGAGTATTAACAAATTTATCTTATGTGTAAATTAGTGTATTTTTGTGTGCTTTATAACTGATCAGTGATCTAAAACATTTACAGTCTATAGTACAGTCTCTTGATACTGTGTCTTTAGCAAATGACTCAACGTGATTTCTGAATTCAACTTTGATTCTGGAACACTGAATGCATCCAAATAGGATGATAGAGTGACTTACGTGGTCTGTCATTCCATCTTCCTCTACCACCTCTTCCTCCTCTACCTCTACCACCACGTCTACCTCTCTCATTCTCACTAAACATATCATGACTACCTCTACAAAAATAAAAATAAATACCACTGATCAATACATCACATACAAAAAATAACAGATGACAGTGAGCAGCAGCACCATAGTTATAAGATGTTTAAAGAGGTTTAACAATCTTAAGTTAATTTCATGAACTACCATAAATCATTTTAAATATAGTGAAGTCAAGTTCAGTAACTAAGCAACATCTTGAGAAAAATCAAAGTGAATTTACCTGCGTTCTCTTGGTGGAGGGAAATAAGGTCCAGTATTTGGACCAGACATACTGCGTAATTGTATATCAATTTCTTGTTTAGCTTGGCGTAACTGTTCAACTTCTCGTAAATGATCCAAATTAAAATCTAATAATAACTTAGCGTTTTCAATACTTTCTATGGTACCAACAAATACAAAGGGTAATTGACCCTAAAATATATTATATAAAAACATGAAACAAATGGCCATTGAAAGCTAAAACATCTTTTAAAAATATAATTGTCCAAATCTATTGGCATAGATCTTTTATCAATACCCATCTACTGGAATAGTAAGAAAAAAAATTTGATTCAAGTTAACCAGAGTTTCAGAAACTGATGAGTTCAAACCCCAGACTGCACAGCACACTAATTAACAGTTTAATGTTGGATTTCACAAGTAACCTGTCCCGATTTCAAATCTAGTGCTTTTTCTAAATCAGATAGTCCACAAATTAATTCCAGTCAGCATATAATATGATTAGTCTTACATCTGATTTATTTTCTTCAGCTTCATTATCACCTTCTATTTTAACTCTCACAACACCTGATTTGTCTACGATATCTTGTATATTCCGTCCATTTTTACCTATAACTTTAGCTGAAAAGTAGGGAAGATACAACTTTTATTCAGTGCAATTCAGTTGGCCATATTCAATCAATTTAAAACTTTTGTCAATATGCTCAAGTTTGTCTTAGAGATACAGATCTCACAATCAATCAATTCTATAAACTGTTTATGGTTGTTTAATAATGAACAAAACATAATTTCTATTTTAAAATGTTCTTCTTTTAACTTTTAATTGCTATCATATCTGACAACTTACCAACTAATTCTTTTGGCACTTGAAAAGTTTCTTCAGCAAACTCTAACATTTTTCTAGCACTCTTCACACACTCTTCATTCTGTAATGTAAAAAATATCAAATAAACATAATGTGAATCAAATTAAGGATCAGTTTTCCAATCAAATTCAATTTCAAATAATAGTTCTCCCCATCAACAATAGCTCAATGGAACAGGAATCCTAGTAAGGAATAAAAAAAAAATAGAGGAAATTAAAAAGATCATCAAGTTGACTATGGGCTCCTAAGTGGAGTACAGGGCTGAGATTTTATCATTTTAAGATGCTTTTTGAAGTCATTTCCTATATAGAAATCTTTTCATTCCCCAAATCACATTTGAGTACCTTTATTAGAAAAGGGAAAAAATACCACTGGCCAGGAAAATAGGAAATCTAGGATCCCTGATGGAAGAAAATCAATTTTATATCTTGACGTTCTCCATTTAAATAGGCTAAAATTGTCTTACTATATGACTATTGATGGTACACTTACCTCACCGTAAACTTTAAATGTACAGTTAGATTCATCTAATTCAATACCAGTTATACCATCAACTTTCCTAGCTGCTTGTATATTGGCACCATGAGTTCCTATCGCTAATCCCATCAATGACTCTGATACTGAAAATTCCTCCATATAACCAGATCGGATCTTGGTACTCTGTTAAAAGACAAACTTATCAACTTATATAGTATTATACAAAACCCATGAAAAGAAATTATGCATTGTAATTGAATAGAGCTCATGCTGCTGATTTGTTTCAGAAAAACAATCCACACCAGGATAGCTAGTTTTGTCAAAGGGGTTAAGGCGTATGATCAATATAAGCAAACTCATTAATATGTTAGTGAGCTATTGGCAAATTAAGTGCTACTATAAATTATTAAATGAATATGTCATATCAAATGGTGCCAAAACTGTATTATGTTGCCGAGGGATATCAGTTTCCCCAAACTTCTCAACTAAGCTTCTATATGTATCAAACTATACCTGTAATTTCTTCACAGCCTCTTCTGTCCGCTGTTTTAATAATATTTTTTGACGTAAATTGCGTAGAAACATATCTCCTAATATGGAAGCCTTTTTAATCACAGATTCTAATGTGGACTGAAAGATAAAATGAAAGTAAATAATTCACTTACTTCACCCTGCTAAATACACATAATAAATTTATATCCACGATCTATTCGTAATAAATTATCATCCAAATAATGCAAAGTTCAAAAAGAGTTTACAAGTTAATTATTTTACCCTTTTCCACAGATTATGGTATTTTATTAAGTTTAAAATAATGACATACCAGAACAACTAAAGCATCCTCATGGCTATGATATGATACAACACCTTTACCACAGTGACGTTTAAATTCTGTTATCGATGATTCTTCTTGACATCTGGAAATAAATCAGGGACTATTAAAGCATTAAATTATCACAATTACGATACTTTTAAATATTAAAAGATCATAAAAACGTATGAAGAGCATGATTTGCAGAAAACATGTGTTGAATATCTTTTGCCCTTTAAAACTTTGTTTAGTATCAGCATTCTTCAATATTTCCATATAATACTTATGTTGATGCAAAAACGTCAATAAAATATTCAAATTAATAAATATCTAGGGTTATTCATAGCCTTCATACAAAATTGTTTATTTTACTTTGAAGGGGGTCGTTGTTTTTGGCCTTAAAAGGGCCAGGTTAGCCATCTGCTTGACCAATAGTCTCAAAAACATGAATATTTAGATGAGTTAATCAGTAATAGTGTTCACAAGCAAATGTCTTAATCACAAAAAAAAAGATATCATGTAAACTTACGCTTCAGCCAGATCTGGTGGTATAGGAAGAGAAAATTTATAAAAACTATCTTTATTTATAGGAACACTGAAAATAATAATTTATATACAGATATAATGATATAATGATATAATATGTAAGGGTAACTAGATGTCACATTTAAATGTGATACAGACAGCTGAAATTGGGCTAGATCAACTGAGAGAGTCATTATTAAGACAACTTTATCTCTTTAAATTGGTTGGAATTCAACATTCATTTTATGGAAAAGAAAAGGTGTTAGAACAATAACATACTGTTTTCAATTAAACCAGTAATGTACTTACTTTACATTGGAGGGACGTATTTTATCTAGAGAGACTATATCTGAGGCACTAGATCCACTGACATAATCAATAACAGCAAATTCACCTTTCAACATTTTTAATTTAGCAGGCCACCAGGCTGATACTAGGTCTTCTGCAGCTTTACTAAATGCCTACAATTATTCAAAGATTCACAGATTTTAAAATTTCAGAATTCTTACTTAATGTTAAGGTCACATACTTATTATCAACATATGTTAACCTCAATTATTATTTAAATAATCAATAACATAATTAAATAAATAATTATGCTGATTGAAAAGGCAAGGGACTGGTAGAAGTTTAAAATAACATTGACAGTATACTGCGTAATATACTTGACATCTATTTCAATAAATGAATCATGCAAAAATGCTACTAGTAGCACATTACTTTTAATTTTGCAAATAAAGTATGACAGAACACTTGCAGGTACTACAAATAAAATAAAGTTGATAAAATTCAACAGAGCAGTGTTGCTCTCTCATTATTAACAGGTAAAACAGCAATATATATACATTGCAGATTGACCAATATTGGACTAGCTGACCTCAGAACATTCCATTTAATGGCATATGGAAACAATACGCATGATATATCAAACTGTTCAGTAACTTGTGATAGAAAACATTCTAATGCATCAGACAACAAAGTCGCTTATGGTTTTGAAACAAACAGTATATTGTGTCAATTGTGATAGTTAAGGTAAATTTTAATCAAAATAAGACAGATAATTTACTCTTTAATATCATTAAAGATAATTGAAAGAATATTGAAGAAATACATAAATTATGCTGACCACATAGCTATAAAATATTTAATATCTAATGCCATGCATTACACTTCTATATTTGACAATAAATTAGTAATAAGACTTTCCTCTCTTGTAGTTAGACTAGTCTAATACCTTCCTGGAACGGAAACCCACAATTATATTAGATATTATTACATACCTCAATACTTTCTCCTTCTGCACACTCTCTCCTCCGTAAACTTTCTGGAGGAGGCAATCTTGCCAGTGCAAAAAGAACTCTTTCTTCATTTTTGGGACTAAAATTTAAAAAAAAATATAATCTTAAGAACTTGGGGAAACTTTGAAACATTGATTAACATAATTCAAAACATTAACATTAATATGTATCCATAACATCATAATCATGGTAAATTTAATGAACAGGAATTAGATAAACATTACTGGTACAGAAACAAAAAAATCCTACCTATGATCAAAGGATATTACAAGTTCTTCGTCTAAAATATCTTTAACAATGGCCTGAAAAATACAATTATTAAGGTATAAGCTTAAGCATAGATTTCTACAAGGAATATTTTGCGTTTGTTTTTGTTATTTTCAATAGGGTTTAACCCTTGGATGATCACAAAATTCCACAAAGTTTTGTCTAAATAAGTCAAAATTTGTCCCTCTTGCGAGTGTTTATATGCAAAAAAAATTGAAAACATTTCAAAGAACAAGGTCAATTACTCCTTACATCATTTTTTGATTCTCTTTGAATTTCAATAGAGTTCATCCTTATTTTTTGTATAAGCTTTAACAATATTTAATAATTAAATCACGATTTCGTTAACACGGTATCACCCAAATGATGCAATCTAATTGGATAACAGCGGTCATGTGCATTCGGTTTACATCTGTGTAAACAGAATGCAAATAAAAGCTCTGCCCCATAACAGACTACTTTTATCATTGAGTTTGATTGATGTGGTCAATGCCGTTCCTTCAAACATCAACAGAGCCGAAATTTTCCAAGTTCCCTTGAATGTGTACACTCCAAATTTCAACAATAGGCCTATCATGAATTCTGGACTTATTTCGAATAATTTGTCTTTCAATAATTGCTCCGCTCAGTCAACTTTCAGGCCATGGACAGTAGACTATAAATAGTGTGACCTACTTATTGCTGATTGGCTGTTCTCTTGTCTCTATTGTTAGTATCAGTTCATTAACGTTATGTTAAAATGTCATGTATTAATGCGCCAATTTAGTACATTAATTTGTTGTTATATCAAATAAATATTTAAACACGAATTCGAGTGCTCTATTTGAGTAATAGACTAAATATGAATATTTGATCATACATTATATAATTTACATCACTTAGAAAAAAAATAATGAATATTTTAGTTGATATCCTCAGATAAAGAAAGTTTTTATCTTGATATTTGATTTTACCCAAGAGAGTTCTGAATATGTTCTAAAGTGACTATTAAAGTTGAACTATTGAAATGTGTTAAAACTTGATATTTCCATGGATCTGAACACATTCGAAATCTACTCTCGGACTACATTGATCATGAGATTTGGTTTGAATTTTTTCACTCATTACATTATTATTCAAAATAAAATTTTCAACTGTATGCCATTTGTCTTTTAAGGTCTTCGGGTCCACAGATATATAAGGTTCAGTTCAATTAAAATTAGACCCAACTTCTATTGTTTATTAGCATTCATTTTTAACCTAAAGGTCTGAAGCATTAGACACTGAATGCACCTTTTGATCGTGTCTCAAAATCTCAGCATTGTTATTGTGCTGGTTGTTATTATGGTGAAGCTCCAAGTTGACTATAGTATAACTCATTGTAATTCAATATCCAAAGCAAATCTATTTGGATAAAGTGAACCGTGGCCGTCTATCTTTCTATCTGTTAATTGATATGGGGTATACAGTCAACATGAAGAACATCCTTTCATAAGGGATCACACAAAAGAAACTAAGCTGACGTTTTCAAATTGAAAACATAAATTGAGGTCCGTGTAATTAAGAAATTCCGAATTCCAGGAAAGAGAAACTTGATTCTTGATAATAAAAGTGCACGCCGTTTCACCGGTTATACATGGACAAAACGGGCACTTTCGTACTTAATGCAATCCCAATATTTTTTCATTACGATACTGGTTGACACACTTTCTTGACCTTAGAACAATCAAAAAAGATAACAGAGCTTTTCTGAAAAACTTTATACCTTGTAAAAAGCCCCATTACTTCCACAAACTTCGACCACAAGTTCGTCCATTTTGGATTGTCCAACTGAATGATGGGAAATTCTTAACAGATTAATTATCTGGGAGACGATTTCATAAAGTTATAGAAGTTATTCAAGTGCTAGAAATTTTTTAAAAAATGAATCACAGTTTTTTTCATTACAATAATATATCTGCAAAGAAGTAGGCTTTACATTCTCACATGACATATTATACGAGATTTGAAGTTATAAAGTCAAAATGGCGACTGGATGATTTGTTTACATTTAGACACTAGAGTCTTCTTAATTTTTTGATAGTATCACTACATAAACTAAAATGATTTGTTGAATTTCTTTTCATTTGTGAAATTAACCATGTCTTCTGATAGTGAACCAGATGAATTTTTTGATGCAGAAGAAAGTACACCGTTTCAGTAAGTATAAGCTTACTAAGTGACTCTCACACAGAAACAGATTGAATAAAAATAAAAGGATCACAGATGAGATACTGACAGAGTGGTAGATGAGTAGTAAAAATACCATAGTAAATAGAAACAAATTACACATTATTGTCATCATTCACTGACAGTGACACTGTCAATAATGACATCAATAGTCAGTTTACTTGTCATAATATTAATAGTGACAGTGCTGTCTACCATGTATGTATGTAGATTGTTATCAAATTAATGCCAATTCATTGACTCACCAGAGAGTGAGACTGAGGACACCTATCAATGCCTGTGCCCATCTGTCAGATGAGAAAAAAATCTTGATAGATAGGTGTAAGCTTATATTATCCTGTTTTACGTTTGCATCATAAGACTTATCTGTTCTGCTGTGAAGGTTAATAAATTAGTAGTGTAAATGGGCGAGTGTTCTGAGATTGGTTTACCTCAAGACTACCAAATGAGATGTTCACATAATAATACTTCTCAGAACTGAACAGATATAATTTCGTTTTAAATTTATCTGTTCCCAGAACAGTTCTTGTGCATATGTCTAGAAACTTTGATCTTTTCCCACAGTTTCTGCAAGCAGAGGAATTGCTTTTGTCTTCATCACTACAATTACTGAACTGTTCTCAAAGCGCTGGTACCGGTAATTGTAGTTGTGTAAATGGTAAAAATTTTATCGTGTCCAGGTCTAAATCTGCCTCTCGAATAAAACTAAACATAACTCTACTCCAGCTACTACTAGTCTAGACAGAGAACTTTACAATTCGTAGCTTCCTTATGTAAACAGGTCTAGATTAGATGCCTCTAAACCAGAGTTAACCATTAACTTTCTTCTTTTTATTGTCAGGTCATTTTTGACTGTTCCTGTTCAAAGCAGCTCAGCAAGCTCTGATGCGGTAAGTCATAAGATTCTTATAAAATATTTAAGCTTAAGAATAGCAATCTGTATTATTATTAGTTTTCATTTTAGTTTAACAGAAAACAACCCACAATGAAAATTCAAAATTGTCACTCATCATTGAGAATCTGCTGAAACTTTGATTTGAAATTGTTGTATATTTGTCTAGTTGAGTGACATAGAAGAAGAAGAAAAAAAAATATTAGAATTAAAACGAAGGGCTGAAGAAAGGTAGGTAAAAGTTTGATCATCAACTTATCTTTTAAAAATCAGTTTTGGTGTAAGTATCCCCACATGGGGCCTTTGCCCCTCTTAACCGTCAGCTGATCTTTTAAATTTCATCTTTATTTTTGTTCCATACTGGGATCCCTGTATACTGTCATTCAAAAATATTATTTCAATACCTAATCTCATTTGTTTTTGCTTAGATTAAGCATGTCAGGCCATGAAGAGTGCGATAAAGTGAGCTTTATCCGTCCAAAGCCAAAGTTTTTCAGTATATTCTCAATCTATTCTATTTATTATACAATTCAGAAGAAAGAAAGAAGATGAAGACCTTGAAAGACGTTTATCTTTACTACGGAAGAAGAAACTTGCTGAATTCCAGGTAATGTATGGAAATGTGTGTTTGTGATTTGAACATTGTGCATGTTAATGAATCAAGATAGCAAGTATACCCTCATAGCATACTAGATAACATTTATCTTAATTTTGTTTCATTTTGTTTTGACTAATTGGTTTTGTGTACAGTTGCACAATAATTTTCAAGGAATTGGACCTACCTTTATCACTTTTCAAACTGTATATCGTATATCTGATGTGGATTTATGAAATAGCTATCAACTGGTTAACTCAATAATTAGGTAATGCCTCTTATGGCAAACATCCACTTTATAGAAATCTTATTATAATTTTATCTTACACTTTGAATTCTATTTTGGAAGACTAATTATAATTCCAGGACACTGTAGAACAAGTTAATGAAGATGAACAGCGTCGGAGAAAGTTATTAGAAATGAGACAGTTAATTGGAACAGAGAGTACACCAATTAAAACTGTTGATACAATGATATCAGTGGAAGAATCTACAGATGAAAGTTCTCTATCAGAAATATTTGAAAATATTGTGGGAAACTCAGGGACAAAATCTCACACCATCGAGAAAATGGAAAACAATCATTCGGATAGCGAAGAATATCTGCTGAGATTACGACGAAAACGTTCAGGTTCGTGGGGCGACTTACCACGTGACACGTCACAAATTATTCATAGTTCTAGTGTTAATCAAGTTATAGAAAATTTAGAGAAAAATATCAGCAAATTCAATCCTGAAAAAGATGAAATGGAGAAATCATTATCTTTTGATAAACAGGAAGACATTTCCACGTCTGCTGAATTAGTTGTAGATGATATTATTAAAGAGGAACAAATTGCTCGAAATGAACCAGATATTGTACAAAGCACTAAAACACGTACACCACCTACGTCATTTTTAAAACCTGTAGCACCACCTAGGAGAAAGAAAAGGGATGATGAAGTGAGTTATCAACCTTATCATCTCTTTCATCTAGATTATAAGAAATACCAAGAATAAACATTGATTACCATTCATGGAAAATGTACCTTGCAATGTGGTAGATTGTTATTGTTCATGTTTTGCAAAGTTGCCAAAAGACATGAAGCCACAGACTGTCTGTATTAAGTCACATTCGAATTAAACAACCTGGGCCAGTGCTTTCATTGAATTTGTCTCGATGTACCCGAATACATGCCTAGGTAGGTTCATGCAAAGAACATGTATATGGAATTTCAATGACAAATTTTCAGATTCAAATGTTTATGCCTTCTTCTTATAAACTTCTTATAACTGTGCAGATACAAGTCTATTTTGTTCATTTTAGGGAAGTATATCATCCATGTCTGAAATTATAAATCCAGGGTTACCTCCCCCTACTCCGAGCACATCTGCTAAACATATTCATCATGATCAATTCAGATCATTAGATATTGACAGTGCTCTTGGTGGAAATAGACACATAACATCTCAGGTTTGATAAATTCGTTTTTATTTTATGTTTAATTGTTTCTATCTATACATTGGTTTATTACATCTATAAGGTGATCAATTACTAGAAAACTTTTGCTTTCATATGTTTGAGCATATCTTCTTACTTTGGTTGATGCCTTGAGACATAGCAGAGTTATATTTTTATAAAGCTGACAGTCAAACTCAACTTACATAATGTTACATTATATTAATATGAATGAACTAGGTGATTACCTTGAAAAATAGGAGAAAAAGCTGTTTCCTCTTTCTTACTTCTTTTCCGTGCAAAATTTCCCTTGTGTGCATTGCATGACATTACCAATCTTTATTAGCCTAAATCAGATGCAAAAACGTGGGATGTAACACTTAATTTCATTTACCCTAGTCAATGGAAAAAGAGTAGTCTACTGCCGCTGTCCCACCAGAATTCCTTCATTGCATAGTGTACGACAATGCCTGCCAGCCAAATCAGCTGTAGAAAAAAGAAAATTTATACAATTCATTCTAATTGTTTATGACTATAAATATATTACAGGAAGCTGAAGTAGATGCTATACATTCTGATAATGATGTAGAATCACTAGATATGACTAGTTATTATTTAGAAGAATTAACTGATGATGAGTTACTAGGTGGTAGTGACACTGAATCAGGGCGTAAAAAGACTTGTCGTCCCAAGCTTCGAGATAGAAAAAAGAATTCTCAAGAGTCACCAGAATCAGCTGTACGACCTCGTTCTGGTTCTGGTAGATCGCTAACTGATCAGGTATACAATTTGGTTTTTTTCATTATGATTTTAAAGGAACTATAATCCTTTGTGCCTTTGTACTTATTGATGAGAGGCCATATTTCAGAAATGAAGATAAATTCTGATTTACATGTAACAGACTATTTTGGAGAATAGGTTTTTTAAACAATGACCTTTATTCTTTTTGAAGAATGATGATATCTAAGTATTGCTATTTGGAGTGTAGACACATTGAAAGGTACACACAAATACATAATGACTCACTGAGTGGCAATAGGTGTTATGGAATAGTTATGATATCTAATGTTTATTACAGGAAATATTAGAATCTGTTATGATATTAGATCTAGATACAGGCAATCAAATACCATTGAGTGTGGCTGAAGAAAACATACCCTCAACATTAAACCCATTAGCATTACATATCTTACAAAGAACACAAGAGATGGGAAAAGATGAGTAAGTCTTATTTAAACTCCTTTCTAAAATTTTGTATCATTTGTCCAGTTGTTCAGCAATTAATGAGTAAAGGTTGGTGGACAGAACTTGTGGATTTACATATACAGTGTACTGGGTGGTAAAGAAAAAACCACATTGACATAAATATAAGATATTACAGCTCTATAGGTTTAACCAGTCTGAAATACAAGCCTATAATATAGTTTGATCTTAGTTTTGATACTGTATGAAAAATCCTGAAACAAAAAGTTTCATTGTTTTTCTGGGCCACCTGATATAAGTTACTGTTTGTTACAAAGTTGACATGGGTATGAGATCATCCAATGATCAACTATCACATTTTGTTCTCAATATTTGAAATATATTTCACCTGTCGTTACTGAGTGTTACCAACTTTAGTTAATGGTAGTCAGTATTTCTAATTTGGACTGCAGTGCAGGTGTGATGGTGTTTCTGGTTGGTTAGTGAGTTGACCTTATTACAATGGTCTCTGATGTAAGAATTGTCTGATTACATTATAGAAAGCATGAATTGTTTGAGAACAATAGATAAATGGATTATTGAGATTATCTGTATTTTTAGTAGTTGTTTAATTGATTATATGGTAGTAATTAAGTCTATTATTAGTCCTACAGTAGCATAGTGATATAATAATTAGTGTTTGTAGTAAGTGAACTAAAGAGTTATAAAATGAACTGTGGTCAGGCTTCAGAGATGTTGTTGCTTTCATGAGTATCTTTATCATCTATTGGGAACATGCTGTGAGGATAAAGTAGAATGTCTGTGAAATAAATGGGATTATCATAGAAGATAATGGATGTGTTTAAGTTAATGTAAGTTTTGTGAACTTTGTTGGTATGGTTTTGATGACTGATTGTCAGGTCTGGGCTATCCAAAATTTGAACAAAAAATGTCCTCTGTCAAATCAAATTTCAAAGTGATAATGTGTTCTCACGTTTTTTGCTGCCAATGAAAGTCATTCTAATAGTAGGCCTACTATTTTGAAGCTGATATTTCAATTCTTTTTAAAATGATCATTAAAATTATGACTTTGCAAAGACAGAATTAATATTCTTCTTAATTGCCAAATTCTATAAAACTAATAAATTAAATCTTATTTAACAGTTTAATCTTAAATTTTGTCTTAACTTGGAAATACATTATAGAATATTCATAATGATTATATTTTGTTCATTTTGTAAACAACAAAATGTTGAATCAAATATAGAGTTTTAATAATATGCTATAATGTTTCTGATTACCATGTTAAACTCAATATTCTATTATGTATATTTTCAGTCAATCACTAGCACCTAGTATAGGTACCGATGAAGAAGATACTAGATCAGAGAAAGGTACCCTTGGTACATCAGGACTTAAAGCCAAAGAAAAGGCGTAAGTACACTTTTTATTTTCAAATGTAAGATGTGTTTGCTAGTAAGAATAAGCCTTGAAAAAAAAAAGTCAAACCAATATGTTAAAAAAACATGATTTCTATTTTTTAAACAATTGGTAACATGCTACTTTGATATATAGAAAGTTTAAGTTTGAAATTTTACTCTGAATATTGTAGTAAAAAGTTAAAGAAGTTTTTAGGAAGAAAAATGGGTAGAACAGTGAAGAAAGTTAAGAATGTTGCAGATAATGGTAATTTGAATTCTGTCTACTCTATTTACTCTACATTAGTGATTTGAACTGCTTAGCCACAAGCCACAAATACGGACATGAAATACGACTGGCTTATATTGAAGCTATACTTATAATTCAGGTCACACTGAACACCTGATGTCACTGTAATTTGTCACAATGTTTCAGTATTACATACAGAAGAAGAAAGTGTAGAAAAAGAAGTATCATTTGATGGTAAAATGTTTAAAATCAAATCATCTGGTAATAATAAAGGGCCATATGATTTTGCTCAGTTACAAATGTTACAAGATATGAGTGGTGAACATGTTGTAAGTATACATACAGTAGACTCTCTTTATGTTTGAGAGGGTTTGTAACTCTAGAATTATTCTAGGTATCCTTTGTATGAAATGTTTTGACTAAATCTATTTTTCTTTCATTGTATTTGCATGGTCAGTATTAAGAAATAAATATATATAGATATTGACAATTGAATGGTTTTTTTTTATTAATATATAGAGAAACTCTTTTGTTCTCTGTCAGATTCAGTTATTTTCAGAATTGTCTCAATGGTAAAATTGATTTATATTGTTATTTCAGGGTGCTATCTGGACAATGAAATTTTCACATTGTGGGAGATTATTGGTAAATATTATTACTGATTTTTCATGAAATACGAACTGTGTCATCATGGAATTTATCATGGACTAAGAACAGTTTAAACATGAGTTGTATGATCTATATTTATGACCAAATTATCACCTTAATACTTCTGACTTGAAATTTCAACTGACTTTGAAAATAATACAATTTCTGTATCTTTCATTTTTAGGCAACAGGTGGACAAGATGGTGTTTTGCGAATTTGGGTTTTAAAATCAGCCTATTCACATTTTGATGATTTACGACAAAAATATTCAGATGGTAAGGTTGCTTATATTTTAGTTTTTTAACTTTCATGTTGATCTCCAATACAACTAACAATTTAGCATTAAAACATTGATAAAAGTATGAAAATAACACCTTTTGAAAGTTGACATATCTGTATTTATATTATCATTAAGATAACTTTGTTGTAAATATTCTATTGAAATTTTGTTTGTCTTTCTCAGTGAAAGTTTCTCCAGCACAATCACATGAAAGTTTGAATTCTATTTCATCAGAAAATGTAAGTTGAACTGTATTTTTTGTGTGTAAAATCAGCTAGTTGATATAGTACAATTAATGGATAACTTAGATTTACCAGTTACTATGTATAACATAAGAATTGTATCTCTCATTGACATTTTTTTTTTTTTTTCTTTAGTAAAGTTTATTTACAAAAATATACAAACATGAACATATACCTTACATTATATCATATTACATATAATATGGTTCAAAAGAATATACACATAAAAATATATGTAGAAAGATGTTTTATATACTATATTTTGAGTAGTTTATGAAAGAGTTGATAGCGAAGAGAGTGAGAAAATAGAAATAGGTGAAAGGTATAGGAAAGACTAAAGGAAAGTTGTCACTCCGTCTTGTATTTCGAGTGATTTATTATTAAGATGTTTTGAGCTCTTGTAAGGTTTCTCATTGACAAACATTGTAGGTCATTTGATTTCATGACAGGTAAAGATTGTTATCTATTTGTTTTATTCCTGACAATACCATGTCCTCATTATAGATTTATGTTAATTTTAATTTTCAGGGAGCCAGTTTAAATGAAGAAGAAGATCTCAAAGCGCCATTTAAAAAGAAACCATTTTTCTCATATAGTGGTCATTTAGCAGATCTATTAGATATTTCTTGGTCTAAAGTAAGTATTTGTAGTTCAGTATATTTCAATTATATTCCTTATATACTTCTCATAGTTTTGATTATACAATTTTCTTTGATGCACACTGCAGAGTACTACTGTAGTTCACTGATGAAAGCATATTTAAAGTAGTGATAAGCTTTCTTAAAAGTTATTTCCATTTGTATGCTGATAACATTTAATCAGAAATTACTTCAGGCTCATCTCCCAAATGTTTGTAGAAAGGAACCATAAAAAGCAGACTTTATATAATGCATAATAATTACATATGTTGTTTTTCAATTTGTAGAATTATTTTATATTATCTTCATCAATGGATAAAACTGTAAGATTATGGCATATATCAAGACGAGAATGTTTATGTACTTTTCAACATATAGATTTTGTTACTGCTATAGTCTTTCACCCAAAGGTAAGTTAATAGGATATTGGGGAATAGTGCACAAATATCTGTTTAGGATAAATAAATAGAAATATTAGATAATTAATAAATTAACAAATATAACTCTGTTGAAATGGATCATTAAAAACTATTTTGAATTCATAAATTTGATGTTTTAGGATGATCGTTATTTTTTAAGTGGTAGTTTAGATGGTAAATTAAGATTATGGAATATACCTGATAAGAAAGTTACTCTATGGAGTGAAGTACGGGGGTCCAGTAATTTAATAACTACAGCTAATTTCTGTCAGAATGGTAAATATGCTGTAGTTGGTACTTATGATGGAAAATGTATATTCTATAATACAGAGGTAAGGGTGTTTTATGTTTATGTTTAATCATTATTCTTTTCAAGGGATATACTTGGGCTCTGTCCTTATAATAATAATGATAACTTTATTGAGCAACAATCTGTTAACCAAATCTTCATTGGGCTTGAGTCAATGGACAAATATGTATAGTGCTTGTAAAAGTGATATAATTTGTTACAAATGATTTCTGGTCATTGGAATGATAAGCATAACCTGATTTATTTCTAAATTGATTGTATATTTTTATAACTTAGCCCTTGAATAAGACAAACTGAAAGCTATTGGTTTGGGCTTTACCTGTTGATAAGGATTTCAAAGTAGTCCTACACAATAATACAATTTTTAACATCAATGAAAGGTCCATATCGTGTTGAAATTATTACTTAGATTTTCACACTATGTAATTTTTTTCATTATCAGCAATTAAAGTATTTTACTCAGATCCATGTACGCTCAACGCGTGGTAAAAATGCTAAAGGACGAAAGATAACTGGAATTGAACCATTACATTCTGAAGATAAGGTAATATTTTCTGTATATTTAAGTTATTTTGTGTTAAACATAATTATGTTGTTCAGAGTTAGTCACATCTGTTCATAGGTTGGCATAGATTATGTCAAAATTCAGGCGATCTTGATATAGAAAAAGAGTTCTGTCTATTCTAAAATGAGTGATGTATGCCCAAACTGCTAAAATAGAAATCCACTAAAAATTAAGTTACAAAAATATATTTTCTTCAGTTATTAGTTACGTCCAATGATTCTCGTATTAGAATGTATGATTTAAGAGATTTAACACTATCATGTAAATATAAAGGCAGTACCAATCAGAGTAGTCAAATTAAAGCTAATCTAAGGTAGGTACTAATTCATTCTATAAATGTAAAAAAGCAAGGTACAAATTCTAATGACAGGTTAATGGAGAATAAAGCAAAATCAATTTCTTCTACATTAATAAATCTGTAGAGTTAACCTATGATATCTTTTCCAAGATAACAAGTTACCACTGTTAATGTATCTGTTCCATTTTATAAAAAAAAACTTGCATTTGAGTGGAGAGATCTTAATACCTTTTTTTTTTTAAATTAAACTAAAATGCTGTGTTCCCACCTTTTAAATGTTCTCGTGCATGACTTTTTACAACATTTGTTTTTTCTCTAATGAAGTTATGATATATTTTCAGTGCAAATGAGAAGTATATGGTCTGTGGATCAGAAGATCATTTTCTGTATATATGGAAAGTGCACCATGACTACAATAAATTTTCTTCTGTTAGAAGAGATAGGAACGATTTCTGGGAAGCCATTAAAGGTCAGTAACTAATAATTTGTTTCCTTAATAGATTGCATGAATGTTTCACTCTCCTGTTTTGAAAACAGAGATAGTCTCAGGTCAGGTATTCAAAGCACCTGAGTGTAGTGCTCTTATCAAGAAATTGAATGATTGCTGGCATCTTTGACCAACTGGATGGTCCCATATTAGAGCCCCTCAGATTGGTGACAAGATCAGTGGGTGGATTCTCTAAGAAGTGAAAAGTCGAAATAAAATACCTCGAAATGAACGAATATGTGAACTATGTAATATGAATGCCGTGGAAGATGAATTCCATTTTATTTTAATATGTCCTATATTATCAGATCTCTGTACAAATTTTATTCCCATTTATTACCATAAAAATCCTTCAACAGATAAACTAAAACTATTATTTCAAAGTGAATCTAATGTAACTATTAGAAATCTGGCAATATTTATTAAAAAGGGATTGGCAGTTAGAGCTGAAATGCTTGAAATATGACAAGACTATAATATTGATATCAATTTGGTTTATGTAATATAGGAATGTATATATGTTAATCGAATTGTACATAATGATGGATATTTTCTTATATATATTATAAATTATAATTATATTTATTGTACTATAGGCTTGAGGCCACAGAGTACTGAAATAAAGAGAATAAAGAATTAAGAGTCTTTGAAATTTCAATTGCTTGCAGATTCTTACACTTTCTAAATTTACTACCACTCTGTGAAATTATATATTTATTTCATTTATGTTTCAGTTCACAATGCTGTAGTAACAGCCGCTATTTTTGCACCAAACCCATCACTATTTTATAAAACTGAGGAGAAATCCGAGCAACAGGGGGCAGCACAAACTAGTGACGAACACGGACAAATTATTATTTCTGCTGATTTTACTGGAGTTATTAAAGTTATTGCCAATAAACCAAAGAGCTGATATTAAGTTAATATATTTTGATACTTTTATACTGTAAATTGAATGTGAATTCTGTATGTACACATATGTATAGTAGTCCTGACTTCAGGATTTTTAACCAGTGAAGACTTATTAAATATATTTATACATGACAGTTATGTAGCTTGAGAGGGTGTCCTATTTAAATATTCAAATTGAGATTTAAGATTACTGTTTAAAATACTGATCTAAATATATTTTTGGATTTTTATAAGAAGATTCAAAGAATATTTAATATGAGTTTTTGCCCTTGTTCTTAAATTTTTTTTAGCTTGTGAACACTCTTGATGAAAAAATTCTTGAATGACACAATTCTTGACAGATTTGAGAAAACTTTGTAATAATGTTCAGTTAAAAAAGAAGTGTATGAATATTTCATACTGGTGATTGTTACTGTACTACCAAATACTTGTTTACTCTTTATGAATATTACTATAAAATACAGACATCATTGTAGTCTACAAAATAAACTTAGCAGGTTTAATTAGACCAAATGAATATATAATTAATCAATCAATGATAATATTATTACTTGATGAAATTAACATGTGTTATTGGTAATCATAGCAGTGTGTCAATACACTATTGGCCAAGGAGCCTCATCACATTAGTATTATAGTGTAGAATAAGGATAAAGATGAATGTAAATTTGTATGAAATGTGGAAATGAGCTAATGAACCTGCCAGAAATTTGTCTTCTTAAAAACTTGAGATAAAACCATTGTATTTTATTTGTTATTATTGTTAATTGTTTTTATTTGTGAATAGGTGAATTGTGATCAATAGAGACTGTAAAATATACATCTAGAATCTTGGCATTTCTCTGTAACTCTAGCATGAAAGTTGCTGACTCTTCATCTTTATTGATGCTTATCAGGCAATTAAATCTACATCTACAAGCCATTCAATATACTAGTTAAGGCTCTGTTTTATCAAATTCCCTCAAGGTTCAAAGTTTTCAGGCATGTTTCTTTGTCAAATATATTCTACTTGAAACCATGAAGATAGAGATAGACAAATTGCTGTTCTCTTGGATAATTTTTAAAATTTATCTCTTATTTTCCTAAAAAAAAAGGGTCATGTTTGTCTTTCATCTGACCAAAATGTCAAAAATAACCCCCACATATCCACAAAATTAACTGAGCCAGGTAAGAGTCAGCAACTTTTATACTCTATGTGTTATTTCTGTTTTTATATATAGCAAAAAGTAATAGTTTATGGTCATGAGACATTTATATTTTATTGTTGAAATTTTTATTTGTCGTGACATGGCTGGAGCCTTTTTAAAGAGATATGAACTTTTTATTATTATAAGAATTAATGACGTAAAACCACATTATATAATGTTTGAAATACATATACATCATTGTTGGCCACTATGCAAAATATATTTTTTTACTGTCGCCCATTTTCATCAATGACTCCAGACTCGCATTCGAATATACATCAAACTGTTATTGATAATGCTCAAAGTAAAAAAATTTGTTACATCTATTTTAGATCTTGAATACCGTATAATTCCAAATATAATGCGCACCCGTGTACAATGCGCAATCCTTCCTTACTCCATCAAAATCTGGAGAAATCTATTTACGCGTAATACACACCCCTTGACGAAAAATTTGGAGATGGCATACCGGAGACACCAAAATACGGTAACTTTTTGATAAAATAAAAATGCTCCAAAATCTTAAATATCAGTTCAAATTTAGACTTTACTGAAAAAGACAGGAAACTTGACAATCATGTTATATCATTATCTTGTGTTATTGAAAATGAAAATGAAATGAATTAGATTTAAAAGATATTTCAAGGTGAAGGTTGGAAGATTTATATTTACAGCATTCCAAATTCTTTTTGGGGTATATCCTTTTAACCCTGGGAAAAAAGTTTGGTCACTCATATTAATTAACAGACCAATCTTACGACAGAGAATTCTTACAAATATATAGTGGATTGTGCTAGGCACAGTGGCAGCTTTCTGTGGTCAGAATGCAAAGAGTTGATATACCAAATCACTATATTGTTATTTCTTTGTTAAAACATCTTAACATAAAATCAATATTAACTAGCTTTGTATTGTTATATTTTCTTTTGTCAAACTTGAGTCTAATTATAGTTATTAGTGTGGAGGTAAGAATTCTTGGTTGTTTAAAGTGACACAACCATGATTTTATTGACGGGGGCCAACCGTGCACCCCAGCGTCCCTTACAAAATTTTGCAATCCCCTCCTTGAAAAAATTCGGAAAACTGACCCATTTCATCAATGCTACAAAACACCTCGAGTGTCCCGGGACAAAAAAAAGTCTGGCCACGGGCTAACCACCGGCTACTCTACAGAACAATCTTGATCGTCCATCATCAACCAGGTCAAATTAAGTGCGGGAGGAACGTGAGAAATATTGTGTTCAAGTATTTCGCCGCCTGCACACTTTTGGCGTCAAAAATGACCTTGATCTGAAATAGATATCAAGGCGACGTAATTGCAACACCTTTTTGTCGAAGATCATTGTAACCTATAGAAACAATATTACATTTTGTATTTAATGCAGAAAATGGTAAAAATGGACGAAATTTCAGTGACAATTTTGACCTTGATACGACCATTTTTTCTAGCTTCAATGTATTAGAAGAACAGTTCAATTCAAAGTTTGAGCGTATAAAAGCATGCAGAATAAAGGCCGACTATGCAATAATTCCGTTGCAATTATAATATTTTAACCACTCTATACAAGTTTTGGGTACAGCTTTGAGCACAACTATATCTGTCAGTAATTGTCGTTAAAAAGTATGTGGCCCAGCGGCTAACATGAAAAGGTCCTCAAATCCTACAATTTATCTATAGGCTACGTATAATACAATTATACTCTGACAAATTAATATCGTTTATTTAATCACCACACTGAACAATTATTGAACACCAATCACTAATTTGGTCACCGACGAATAAAATAAACCTAAATCGTTTCTGACTTCCTATATATTGACGCATGCCTACTTGAGTTGTTAACGGCACCTGATTGGACTTAGTTGATAATAACGGTGAGATATTGGCATATAGAAGTACTTGCTTATAGTCTTAACTTGGATATCGACAAAATGACTCAAGGAAGAACACAATCTACCCTACAAACAGGACCACTCGTAACCTGTATGAAGACATTGTTAATGGTGTTTAATTTTATTTTTTGGGTAAGTACAATGTTTCAATTGTTCCAATATGGTAGAATAATTTCAGCTCTGTCTGAATTCCAAGATGATTATAATGTATTTTATGTACACGCACTTTATTGATTGTTTTGAGTTGAAATTCTCTCAACTTATCACCATGGCATATTTAATAAAACACCCTAGCTGTTACGTTTCCTATTTAGCTGTATATTTATGACAACAGTTGGAGCATATAGGTATTTTTTTTAGAAGTTGGCATTCAATTATTTAAACTTTTGTCCTCATTGCTGTGTAAATTAGGTATCTCATTCTATGTCATTATGATTGCTCTACAATGATGGTAGAATAATTGCTATATATCTTGAAGCTATCTACATTAAACTTCATAAGATCTTCATATAGATCATTGGATATGGCCAATTAATATACAAGGAGATTAAAGAAATAATTCAATGAATGATATATGTGTCAGACCATTTCATATTGTTGTAATCTAGGATCAAGTAGAAGATATAAATGCCATTGATGATATATAAACAGAGATATAAATGTTTTTCATGATAAACAGAGATATAAATATTATTCATGATACACAGAGATATAAATATTATTCATGATTATTCATGATACACAGAGATATAAATATTATTCATGATACACAGAGTTATAAGCAGAGATATCAATAAAGTTTTTCATCATAAATGATAAACACATATATATATATAAACAGCTCATGATATGAATGCCTTTGATGAAAAACATATAAATGCTAATCAAGATAAATAGAGATATAAATGGTGAATGCTATATTTTTACTTATAATCAGAGATATAGATTTATATATAACAAGGATATAAAAGTTATTGATGATCATCAGAGATTTAAATGCATTTTATGATAAACAGAGATGTAAATGTTATTCTTATTTAAGCCGAGGAATACATATTATTCAAGATTAACAGAAACATATTTATTTATGATAATGAGAGATATGAATGTCATTCCTGATAAATGGAGATATAAATGTATTCATAATAAACATTAAATGTCTGTTTGTGATAAACAGGGATATAAATATATCTATATTAAACTGAGGTATACATATTATTCAAGATAAACAAAGATGTAAATTATATAGAGTTATTTTATTATTTTAATTAAAGTAACTGATGAAAATCAGATGTATTTTAAACAATAATGTAAACATTGACAAAATCTGAACATTAAATATAATTAAATTATATTATACAATGTATATTGAATACTTTACCACTACTATCACCTATATAAGATAAACAAAGCTATGAATTATTTATTATATTGATTGAATTCCGTTGAACACCACATGTTGTTGTTAACATGTATGTAAATATTGACAACAGTATTATAGATAAAGTGATGGTAATTTTTCTAATATCACATACAAATTGAATTTAACATATAGATGTGTAATAAAACATTTTTAAATGGTTGACTGATTTGTATATATATGTGCAGTGTGATTAATGAGTCTTTGCAATGAATTAGAGAATAGTTGGTACTATCAATTAGTTCTAATCATGCTTGACTCATGTCCAATATATGTCTATTTGTCTAACTCTTTGCATTTTAATCCCAATTTCAAAAACATGATGGTTGAAAAGAAAAAGAAAATTTAATTAAAAATGTCATGTTGAGAGGGCAGCCCTGTAGCCAGGAATGAATGGGGCTCGTATATTGTGCCGAGATGGTGCTGGCAGGGCCTGACAATTCAAATTACACAAGTTCTATGAGCTTTGGGCCTTCCCCCATGAGAATTTGAAAATAAGAAGCCTAGAGAAGGTTGGCTGGGGCTTAATTATTGTTGACTGGGGCCCAGTCCCCGTGGACCCAACATTAATGATGGGTCTCGTTGACAATCTACTTTTACTCTGCAAATTTGTCTTCCTTTATTGTGTCAAGTTTAGCTGTATTGAGACTTTTCTCAAATCAATTAGTGTTGCAATATGTTATCTCTCATTGCCTCTTTCATTAGCCTAATGAGATTCAGAAAAGTAGAACATGTTAACTATTGATTCTACTTTTGAATCTACAGCTATCATATCTTACCCTCAATATATGTATATATATAGATTGTTCTATTGATCAGTGAATGATTAATCATCATCAATTAATCATCATCATGGAGTTGTCTTTATTATAAACAATTGATGAAATTATCTCATCATAGAATTGATTTGATTTCATTGATTTTCTACTGAATTATCATGCTCCCATTTAAAACAAAACCAAAAAAAACAGTGCAAATCTTATTTGTATTTTTTTTGTAAATTTGAATTGAGCTTTGAATACTTCATTTTGAATTTATATCTTTTTTTTCTGTCCTACTCAGGGTACTGATTGTGATTAATGGAGCTATAATTGTTCTTGGTGCCTAAAAAACTATTTTGAATCCTTATAATGGTTGTACTCCATATTATAGAGTTTCAGGTCATGTGTGTTAAAGCTTAAAGGTCTTATAAGGATATTGAGGAATAGTTCTTACTAATTATGCCACCACCAAACTGAGTCTGTTGTGGTATTTGTGTCATGTTATGACTTTATATATACAAGTTATGTTAACCTGACTAGCTGTGGGTATTGATTCAGTATGGTAGATTATTGGTCAAGCTGTTAGATCTAGTTTTAATACTCTCTACTACTACCAGACGGTCTATTTATTACCAACCAAATTAATTATTGAATTAACTCTCAATATGGCTTGATTTGGTTAATGATATTCTCATCTCATTTATATCATCAGCAATAATAACATTAACTTAATCTAAATAATATGTCCAGTTTCTAGATAGATTGATATGTTCATGTTTATAGGCCTAAGCAACTCCAACTGGAACAATTTTTTAAACCAAGTGAGGGCACATAGAAACACATAAGTAGAAGGCAGATCTACTTAGATCAAATTGCTCAACAGTTGGAAATCAGAAAAGAGCAGGCAAAACTCTTTTCAGGTATACATTGTCCCTCTCCTGGGTAAAACAGAGTAGGAAACAAAACTATTTTTAATTTTGAATGTTGCAATTGGATGCTATAGTTCAATTCGGTAATATGGCCAACTTTTAGAAGGGCAAGATGTTTATTTCCCATAAAACAGATCTAACAACATGACATCAAGGTGGAATTTATTTAACAAGATTAACATAGAATATGTCTGGTATTTACTCTGTCCATGATTCATTATGTAATTAACAGGATATAAGCATTGATTTTTCTATTCTAGTTTGCGACAATTGCAATATCATTTGATTATAAAGTTACAATTGAAACAAACCTTGATGAAATGCTCTTAAATTAGAATTGCTTTTAAAACTTAGTGAAATAAATAACATTGAATAAAGATCATGCACAAGATGAAGCTGATATAGCTTGTTTTTTTAGCTATACATAGTATTACATCAAATCTTGATTTGATTGCAGTTTAACCTGGTACCATATACATGCCAAAAAGTGTCATGTGTGACTAATATTGAGTTTATTAGTTTTTATGATTTGAACACTGATTATCAGAAAATACTGCATCATAAAAAATAAAATAAATAAAATTAAACATAGGGTTGTATGATGTCATATGTTAACAGCTGCTTCAGAGGCCTTCAAATGTACACTTATGTATCAATGTATCATGTATATTGGATCCTTGAGTTAGAAATATGATACATGTATGACATTTATGTTTATTCAGAACCAGAGGAAGCTATTGTCCTGACCTTTATTACATACAATATATATATGATTATAATAGAAGTAATGAAATAGAAAGTATTTTATAACTGGCTAGTATTTTCTATTATCTTCTATTCCCTTGTTGTTTTATTTTAATATGGGTATTCAGATGTGAAGTTAAACCCATTATTTGTATAGGGGTTTAATAATTTATTTAATTAGTTGTAAAGCAAGAAACAGAAGAAACTTCCATATTTGTGGCTCTCAAATTCTCTCAACTCCACTGTATATTTGTGATTATCAGATTAATTCAACATAATATAAAATTAGCTTGTACTTGGTACAGTGGTAGCTCATGTGAACAAATTATTCTATATACCATACAATTAAATTTCGTTTATTCTAGCTCAAAATCTGAGATACATCATGCAATATTTTAGAGAAAATGGGCACATTATCACATACAACATGATGAAGTTGAATGAATTATTGGCTTTATATTTGATAGGGGTATTTGTATCACGTCACTCTGTGAATCCAGAACTCTTGGCTGTGCAGATAGAGATAGAGGCAGATGTTTCGGTCTATACGAGGGGGTGCTTTATCAGCTTTGGCCCTCCATGTTTCCAAGTTTATATCATTTAGCTCTTAAATGCCTGATGCTGTGGACCCCTCTTGACCATTCACCAAATCATTCCTAGAAACACCACTGAAAACGGGATTGGGAAGTAATATAAAATAAAATGTTACATAAACCAGCTGTAACAAGTTTTCCAATGGAATCAAAATGGAATCTATGAAGAAAGTATGACTCATCTGTTATAATGACAAAGTCTGTCTTATATTTAAATGGCTTCACTTTCAGCATTATTTCATTATGAACATCTTTCGTTTAGAAATATAGGCATGATTACTATTATGATTCTAAATATTAACAGATTGTGAAATCTCGCTGGGTGATTTATAGAAGATGAAAATGAGATGCTAGGATTGATGCTACTCATTGAATAAATTCTCTTGACAGATAAAATGTAATTATTTGTGTAGGTTTATTGATTGTAGTACAAACTTGTTTGTTATCTGTCAGCAACTCATTGTGTTAATACTGTCTAACTTTATAATACCAAATAATCAACATATTTTATCGGCCAATTTAGAAAAAAATATACAATACACCATTACATATGCTTTGAAATTTTCATATCAATGTAACTACACATGTATGTGTTTTAAAAACGTACATCTTATGTCTTTAATATTTGAAAATATGTGACCATACCCTTGTCCTAGTTTTTGTACCGAGGTTTTTTAATTCTCTGTTTGTGTATCTGATAGATTCCATTTTCTCATTTCTCCTTCAACCACTGTGATTTCGCAATAATGACGTCACTATCGTATATGATAGCAAAGGTGACATCATATTTGGTTAAGTTTTTTTCCTAGCATTACAGGATCCCTATTCGGCAAATGAATTATGAATGAATTTCTTGACGTTGTGAAGATGGTGTAATAGATAATCACACAAAGACTTGAAAACCTCATTATGATCCCTTTAGTGCTGTAGGGTGATTGTGGTTAAAGTTTTCTCTTATAGTGAATGATATTAATAGGATTGATTATAAGACTTCCAGAATCATGTAGGAAAATATTCTGTATTAAGTTGGCTTCAAATTCTATCATACAACCTGAATTGACAGGTGATTGATGTCAAAGCTTTGAATCTCCCTAACAACAAGAAAAATTATGGTATCCAATTTAAGTACTCTAAAGCATTGTCCAGATGTCTTCTGCTACATCATTTCAGCTTGTTATGTATATGGTTTTGATGTTTGCTATAATTTAATGCCCACTTCTATCTTTTATCCTAAGTAAATAATCTTGTATTTGATTACAGGTAACTGGTATAGTACTATTAGCTGTTGGTATCAAGACTAAAATAGATTGGTATAAATATCTAGAATTGTCTAGTGTATATCATCCAGAAACACCCTATGTTTTAATAGGAGTGGGAGCTGTTATTGTTCTCATTGGCTCACTAGGATGTTGTTGTACTGTCAAAGGTCATGCCTTCCTTCTGTTCATGGTAAATTGTTTTGCTTTTACAAAAATAATTTTTGAGCTATTTAATTGTGGTAATGACAAGTTTATTGTAAAACCTGGCTGGCACGCTTGAAATCATTTGAGTATACATGACCAGAATTCAATGGTGTATATTATAGCAGCTCAATGGTAAAAAATGGGAAAGATAAGAAGTACTTACACACATTCAAGTGAATTTATCTTGACATATCACAATGTTTTCATTATAGTATCTATCCTAATTATTATATTTATATAACGGGTCAAGTGAGAAGATCCCCCTATTTATTACCCTTCAGCTCTGAAGATGCATTTTAGCAACTGGTAATCACAGATTTATTGTTTTCTCATTATATTACACTTATTTGAACAAAAACCTGAGTAGTTTTGAAATATCTTCTGTTAAATTTCAGTATTGTGGATTCCTAGCTCTGATATTTATTGTTGAACTGAGTGCTGGTATTGCTTTGTTAATCTATAGAAACAAGGTAACCATAGGATTCAGTTTACCACTTTTCATCCTTTTAAACTCCGTCCTTACCAGACGGAGCCAGGTTTACGTCCGAGAGGGGGGCCGAGATATCTGAGATTGCCGGAATCTTAAACCTAGTTTTGAGATTTTTGCCCAAAAATCTTGCTTTCGGGGCTGCAAGAGGGAGCTGCCCCCTTTGGCTCCCCTTTGGCTCTGTCACTGTTACCAGACACATTTGACTTATCAATGATAATGGTTCCTAATGATATTGCTTTGAAATCTCATCTTTTACATATTTTAGCAGATTAATTTCAATGCATATTTCAAGTAGGTTACTAGAGATTGGAGAACATGTATTTGTTAGAGCTTGTGAGCTTTTGAAAACCTGTAATACTCTGATACAGCTATATATGTTATGTTCTTGCTATGTTACATGGTCTAGGAACATAGAACCATATGAAAATGCCCAAAATGAGTATGATTTAAAACATATTTCACTATTACCATAGCTGGAGAAAGGCTTTAAAGAAGGATTAAATAATGCTATAGAAATCTATGGTGAAGATGGGAAAGATGAATACACCAACTCCTTTAATGATATGCAGAAAACTGTAAGTCCAGCCTTTTTTCTTTGAAATAATGTGTCATAGATGTTCCCCAAGTTTTTACTCTGAGGAAGATATTATCTTGTGCTGCTAGCACATGTTTCAGAAACAGAGGCTAACATGAAGCATGTGAGCAATGTTAGCAAATCTATTAAACTGTAGACTGTCGACTACTGTCAAATTGGAAAAAAACTTTTCCGCTAGCGAATAACCTTCACTTCTTTTGGCGAAATTATGAAACAATTTGTACATGTATTTTGTGTTATTTTAGTTGAAATGTTGTGGTATTGTAAGTTATGAAGATTGGTATAAAACACCTTGGGAGAAGAAACAGAAAGTACCTAACTCTGTACCACTGTCATGTTGTAAAGTGGATGACAAGTCATGTAAAAATACAGGATTACTGGCCTCTAATTCTTCAACATCAGATATCTATACTAGGGTACGTAGTAGACACATTGATGCTGTATTCAATATTAAGTTTACAGACCAGTCACAAGACCTCCTCAGTACTAATTGTAGTCAAGTTCAAAATCAAAACAGTCTTTTGCAAGGGGCTCGAAATATCAGAAACTAATAGTTCATGAGAAATAGCAGTTCCACAATAAAGATTATAGGTTGTAAAGATAAGCTTCATTTTAGTGTTGAAAAAATCCCCAACTGCAGACATGATTTTTTTTAAAATTGTAATCCTTACTGTCATGTGATATTTTGTATTGTTTTTTTAGGGTTGTCATAAACTAGTAGTAGATTTTATTGATGGTAATCTTGGACCTATTGGAGGTGTGGCTTTAGGAATCTCATTCTTTCAGGTAGGTTAGACTGCTGTTCTAAATAAAGATATAAACAAGTTTCTACTGCCATTGTCACTGTCAGCAATGTCTTTAAGTCTTTGACTTTTCCAACATTATCTACTGAAAATTGAAAATTACTATGCCTTCATAAATATTTATGTAGATAAGACATACTATGGGTTCTCCATGAATAAATATTTATAACATTATAACAGTTTAACAGTTGATTAAAACAACAAAGTTTGAGATGTTCTCAGTCAATGTAGCAAACTTGATTATTTTTATAAAGACTCGTCACTCGCCAGTTTAAAATGATAGCTTTTTTTATGTTTGTAGATTTTGGGTGCTATATTAGCCTGTTTCTTAGCCAAGTCAATTAATAAAGCTAAGTATGAACAGGTTGCCTAGAATACCAGTAGAGGCTTACCACCTTATAACTTATTTTATGGTCACAAATTGAGAAGATCTAAAAACCATTTTTTTTCCTTTTGCTTTTTTGATTGTTTTTCTTAGTCTTTTTGGACAATTCTGGTGCTTAAAATTTATTTTATTTACAATTTATGAAGCAAGAAATCTAACTTATTAACAAAATTTAAAACAACTTGCAAGTAATTTTGATTGCTTTTGTCATTTTTTTATGGTTAGAACTACTTAAATCAATTCCATTTTTTGAAAATATTTACAAAAACAACAAAATGTTTGAATATAATCCTCAGCATAGAAGTTGCAGTTCTGTTTCTTACATAACAAGTAGGTTTAGCTTTACCACTTGGTCTTACTTGACCCCTATTGCCATGACTATAATTTTAATAAAATAGGGTACTTAAATTTTCTTAAGCTGAAGAATTGAAAATATTTATGCTAGAGTTTAAAGCTTTGTTTATTTTGTATTATTTTGATAATTATTCTGTGTTGTGAATATATTAAAGCATAATTTGTCAAGTTTTGCCTACTTGTATATTACTTTACTTGTCTTTCATTCCAATGTTTAATTATGAATTTAATTGAATACATCAGTTATACACAAAATTGCATGTTAATAAATGTTCTCTACTTATAAAATTCCCAAATTACAGTTTGGCTCTTTAATTATCTATATTCAGATTTTTGGAGGAAGATATTAGATAATGCACCTACTTGCAAAAGCATAATTTTCAAGTTTTCCAGCTATATTGCACCGTTTACTATATAAACTATATTTAATTTTTTATAGCATACTACTAAATTAACTGTATGAAATTTAAAATAGTTGATGTTTAATTCTATCTTTTTCTTTCAAATTATCTTGACAATAAATATATATATCAATGTTATTTTGAATTTTCATGTACCTGTATGAAACTTTAGCCTAACAAATCTGTCCCTACCTGTTCCCCTGTTGTGATTGGATATGATTGAATATTGGCATGTTTAGGGCCAGACATGAGTTCCAAAGGTATATTAGAGGGAAAAGGGAAATTTTATATCTGGCCCGAAATTTGATTAAAACTCGTCAGTATATCACGACCAAAGAATGGGCGGACAAGATGTCAATTTTGATTTCTGCATGTAAAGTTTACAAAACAAAATCTGTAGAAGTGGGCATCCCGTGGATGCAAAAGGACAACATGCAAAAGTGGTAGAAACCGAACAACATCGGTAGATTACACATGTACAATTCTTAAGTATATTGTTACCACACCTCAAGGATAAATCTGTTTTGATTCACCAATTTGAAATGAAAGGGAAGCAGACACACTTACAAACAATATACATTTTTATTAGACAATTATTATTATTATTAAGTCTTATTATCAGTACAGTTTGAAGTACAAATCATATACATTAACATATTCTTATCAAACCTTCTTTAATATACAAATAATGTCTTTTAGTCATTTTAAATGCAGATATCCCGACCCCATGTACAATTTGAGATCTACAAACTTGCACCAAATATTGTTGTAAAAATAACAATGTGTAAAGCAAGTTACATGTGAAATTTTGGATGCAAGCAACTTCTTTATTTGACTAAGCATAGCTACATTTAAAAACCATTGCTTATTTCATTAATAAAAGTTTTGTCTGTAATGGATATATTTTATAGTCAAGCAGAGTAATTTGTGCTCATCTTTGTAAGATTGAAAACAAACACAAGCAGTCTACTTTATCTTTAGGTAGCAAAAATAATAATTATAACTAACTTATTACTTAAACCACCTATAAACAATAAAAGAAGTAGACATCTTTTAAGAGTAACTAAAGTATTTTATTCTACGAGCTTTCGTAGTCGTAGACAGGTGAAATGATTTGAAAGATATTAACAGCGTAAACACAGACGTGAAACATCATAACCCTATCATGTTTGTGGTCATCAACAACAATGTCCCATACAATTACCTATAAATAAAGTGAACTACACGGTTTATGTTTTGAATAACCCTGATGTGTGCAAATATCTTTGTTGGACTAGATTGGTTTGATAAAATGTACATAAAACTGATATTAACATGTAAAACCCATCATTTTTTATTATGCTGCTTTACAATAGCTGCTCAATTATCTACAGTATTGGTCAGCAGGTAGTACCTTTAACACAGTTGACAATAAAATCAACAAAATCTAGAGCATAGAAAATAATAATAATATGGTTCAAACAGACCATAAAGAAGGAAGACAATATAATCATGTTTGAACTAAAGCAGCAACATACATATGATCTAGCAAAATAGCAATATTGATAATAGTTGTGTAAATAGCTACATTTACACCTCCCGAAATTCTCTCAAAATGAATTATTTAAAATCAGAGATATTTTGGAACACAATGAATGTCTAACAATGGCACCATAAATCTTAAGTATTAAAGTCGTATGCACAGTAAATCATAGGATATCTGAATCGAAATACATGTATTTGAAAATTCCTAAGGTTTCTATGGCCATTTAGAGTTAAATTTTGCCAGTATTTCACAAGCTGCGAATAACTGAATATCTAAGCATACATCAAGATAGAAATCAAATCATACATTTGTTTAAATTACAATGCATGTAAATCTGGCTTCTGCAAAAGCCAGCTTGCCGAGTTATGTATATAAGGGGGATAACTCTATTTAAGAGTTGAGGTTTATACAAAAGATGTGGTAGTATATTTCAATGATTAGTTATGTTATATACAAAAGATAACTCATATGTTAAAAAGAAGGTCCAGCCAAATCACAATACAACTTAAAATCATTCTGAGCAATACCTTAAGGTCATTCTTCAAATAAATGTTTTGGAATAAAAAAGAAATGGTCAGATTAGGTTTCTGGAAAAAGACGCTAAGAGTTGCATTTCAAGAGTTAAGTGTGAAATATGTGTAGTTTGGTATTCAACTGGACCGTAAATGAAGTGTTAAGCTATATATAATATAATATATTAGTTTTATATTATTAACAATGGTGGGATCATCAAATACTATCACTAAACTTGACACAATTAAATAATATCATTCACACAGATTTAATCATAACAGTTCTTAAAAGGGATTGTAAAGAGATTTTCTAATTTTTTTTTATGTGTATTGTGGACACTAAGAGCATCAATTTGAGCCATTCCAATTTTCAATCAGACATCTGTAGTTCCTGCAATTCCACTAAAACTAAGTATTTCTATGATGTCACTATACACGAAAAAGCCTTAAGTATATTTTGTAATGAGTGATTTCATCAAAGACTTAGTTTTAGTGGAATTGCACTAAAGTTAGAAGACCTCTTTACAATCTCTTTAAGAGTCAATGATTAATTACATTTGAACTTGTTTATGTACACTTTACTGTTAAAGATCAGATCAATGAGATCAAATGTACCTATTAAAGAAAACATCTTGTCAGCTGATTGAGTTTGCCTTTGATTATTAAGTTAGCAAATAAATATTTTCTAAATTCTTATTTTCAGTGAGGAATTTCAAAATTTCAATTACTGATTTGACTAAAAATAATCCAATAAGTTTATGTGTAAGTTTAAAGAAGATTCATCAAGTCACATATCTTTAAGGTATGACTACTCTTTTATATTTTTTATAACCCATCTCAAAAGTGTAAGGACAGCAAAATGCACTAAAAGAATTGCAAATCCAGATTATAAAACGACACTTTGAGCTTCAATCATACATGATAAAATTGGCCCGGGTTTGAGGTGTTAAAGAATATGGAATTGTACAGTTAAAAAGGTGAACCAGACCAAGTGAAATGGCTGGTAAATTGACTATTATTAAATAAAATAGACTATATACAATATATTTATATACAGTTTTTGGCATCAAGTATCAGATAAAGACTCCTATATCAATGATAGGAATTAATTACATCATAAACAATTATTATATCAGAACAAAGGGAAACATTTCTATAAACAAGCACATGTATCACTAGATATCTTATTACAAGTTCATTTACAATTTGTACTTTGTTTAACCTGTAGACATGACAGTAATCCCATTACAATTAAACCTAACTAAAATCAAATTAATGGATTGAATACAACACAATTTCCACAAAATAAACACACATAAGTAATTATATCTTTCTATACTAACAATTGTGTTTCAATTTACATGAATGTTTCCCTTCAATATACAGAGATATAGGAGTCCTTACAGTATTATGACAATATAAGGGTATTGTTGAGCATTCAACTAATATTCTCCCTTGCAGACTTCAGTCAAAGGGTATGTAATAATCACTAATTAAAAACATAAACAAAAGCAATCCGCTTTATTGAATGCAGTGTAATTCTGTACTGTACTTTTCAACTAGGATTTATCTTTTTTTTTTTTTATCTTAAAAGGGCATTAAAAAAATTTTTTGTACGTCTCAAATTTTTTTTGCTCAAATTTATGAAAATATTCACCAAAATCTCGAGAAATGATTCCCTTAACATATATGAAAGTTTTAACTAAAATAAACCCAGCTGTTAATTATTGTTTTTGGAAGATGTAAGAAAACAAATGTAAAGATTTGAGCAAAATAAGCACCTTATTGTAGATATATCTCCTACATTATGAAAGTTTCAACTAATTATAATGAGCCATTATAAAGTCTAACACCAGAACTAGGTCAAACTGCTTCATTAACCCAATCAATAACAATTTCATTTCCATCAAGTAGATACACAGATACACAGAAAGATGTTTTTGATTATGTAGATTTTGCAAGCCACCCCTTTAAAAATAAAAAAGACTGCCCATGTTTATGTTTAGAATTAACTCTAGATTTTTTATCAAGCTATTGCTATGTTTATCCATATCCTAACCTGAGTGTGACCAAAATACATTGACTAAACAATATAGACACTTTTTAAATTAAAAACAAAACACTTTCAGAAAATCACGGACAATCAAGATATTAAAAGTTGTTATCTATTTTCAACCCATCACATTATAAACCATTTTTCAATAATATGAAGAAAACATATAAGAATTCTAAATATGGTTCTGTTTGATAACAGAAAGCATCACATTTTATACAGGGCTGTGTATAAAGTATTTTATCATATCAAATTGTCAAGCTACTTGCAGCATTTAATTGAATGTTCACATTAATTTATGTGTATAAATAAATATATAAAAACAAAGTATGTGTTTATGAACCAGCAAACTTCAATTTGAAAGACAGTCTTTCAGTTGAACACTTTTCATTCCATAGTTTTTAAACTGTATCATCTACAGGCTGTGTCATCAACAAGCTGTATCATCTATAAACTGTATCATTTACAATCTGCATCTTCTACAATCTGTATCTTCAACAAACTGCATCATTTACAATCTGTATCTTTTACAATCTGTATTACTGTAGAAATCTTGTGATAGGTCAAGAGTTGCAGCAGATGATATTTTTTACCATGTTATAAAATACCCTGAAAAAATAAAGATAAAACATAGATAAGATGGATATTGAATCTATAGATAAAGTTAGTATCTTATCAAATGTCAAGTGACACAGTACATTCCATTTTTTAATAGTAAGGCCTTCAACACATTTTAACATTGCCTTTGGGATGGGTTATGTTATGAGTGTTTAGTGTACAACACCCAATAAAGAACACTTTGGGTTTATATTACAATCTTTGTAAATTGGTCTAGTCTTACTTTAACAGGGAACCTTAATATAATCGAAAATTTCCATTGCACTCCATGAAATCATTATGTTCATGTAATGCTACAGCTAGTGCAGTTTCCATTTTCTCATTGACAAACTAACTTATTTGTCCCAATTGACAATACTGTGGCCCATCCACCCCCTTCATAGAAGCACATACATGGATACCAGATAGTTAGAAACTGTTGTTAGTATTAACATATTGAACATTGAACCTCAAACACTTGTACTAGTACTAGTATTTAACTATAGCTAGGATATGATTAAAAGTTGAACTATGTTTAACTATGTCAACCTAGTGAAGTACTATTGACTTATAGCTATTTATTAGAATATTATATATTTACTCATTATTCATGTATTAAATGATACTATATTTAAAATATATGTTATGTGATATAATATCAGTAATTTTATGAGAACTGTAATCATTATATATTTATCATTAGAATTAGTGTATTATAATGATTTATCACTAAAATTTTAACCAATTTAGCTGATAGAGTTTATTTTTTTCAGGTTTTGCTGCAATTCAACAAATATATGTATTTTGAAACTTAGAAATGTCATCACTCTAATATCTGAATGTTAAAGAAATAGTGTAACATAAAATTTAAGAATTTTAAACTTGGTCAATAAGAGCATATATTCATCAGTAGATATACCTGGTGTCATAAATAACATAAGGATCCTTATATAATCCGATAAATCCAAAAAACTTAGTAATTATCCATAAATATGCAATTAAGTATTGAAAAACGCTTAATAGTAAGATTAAGCGTTTTTCAACAATTACTTAGTTCTATGAATTTTCCAATTTTACAGATTTTTCAGGGATTCTGCTGTAACTTTATGACACCAGGTAAGTCAACTAATGAATATATTCTCATATTGAACTTAAATTTTATGTTCATTCTAAGACATAGTATCACTTTCATAATGTTGATAGATCTTTAGACATCCTTTATGATTCGACACTGTTTGTGAACAGAGTTCAATATAAGCTGTATAGCATCAAATCCTGTTTGTGATTTCAGAAATTATGCTTTTAAAAGGCATTGACATAGTTATGAGGTGGTCCACTTACAATTTTTTAAAGATTTTTCTAGACGCTATGCTACAGTGCTATTGAGTAGACCAATGTATTATCATCATTTCCCAAAAATCCTGTTTGAACTCAAATTTTTGTAGGTATGCTATAATCTATCTATTGATACATTATGTAGTAAACATTAAAAGTGCCATCCCTTAGCACTAAGATCTATAATAAAGATAGCTTACCAGGCAAGGTAATATACGCCCACTAGCAGCTTTGATTTCGTTAAAATCCGTCAAGAATTGTGCCTTCAAGAGTGCTTACAAGCTAAAAATTGAACGCGTTTTCAAGAATAAGAGCAATAACTCATACTCAATATTTTTAGATTCTTCTGATATTTAAGAGGGTTCATCCTTGGGTGATAACCAACACTCAAGCCAAATTTCATCAAAATCCGTTAAGAATTGTCCCTTCTAGAATGTTTACAAGCTAAAATTTGAAGGCATTTTCAAGAACAAGGGCAATAACTCATACTTAATATTTTTCATTTTTTCTGTTTTTCAATACGGTTTATCCATGGGTGATAACCAACACTCATGCCAAGTTTCGTCAATAGCCATCAAGATTTGTGCCATCTAAAGTGTTTACGAACTAAAAATTGAACGCGTTTTCAAGAACAAGGGCAATAATTCATACTAAATATTTATCGATTTGGCTGATTTTCAATAGGGTTTATCCTTGGGTGATTACGAACACTCATACCAAGTTTCGTTAAAATCCTTCAAGAATTATGCCTTCTAGAGTGTTTACGAGCTAAAAATTGAACGCATTTTCAAGAACAAGGGCAATAATTCATACTAAATATTTATACGATTTGGCTGATTTTCAATAGGGTTTATCCTTGGGTGATTACGAACACACATACCAAGTTTCGTTAAAATCCTTCAAGAATTGTGCCCTGTAGAGTGTTTACGAGCAATTGTGGACTGACAGACGGACGGACCGACGGACATTGGTGACGACAATATACGCCCCCCATTTCATGTAGGCGTATAACAAATTAGGTATTAACAAATGGTCATCCAAACTAATTTTCTGTAACCATTTATATTTTAAACATCAGGGTTAAGAGTGAGAGAAGTTAGACAAACTGCAAGGTTTCAATGGGCCAAAATCTCACAACATAGTCCTAAAAATTGTGTGGGATTCCTCAACAGAGAGATATGGAAAATATCTACTTTAGAATGGACAAGTTATATATACAAGTTAGATTAACACAGAGAGAACGAACCATTTATTACACTAGTAACAGTTTACTAGGTTTCTGAGGATCCTATCAAACAGCTGTTCCTTAACCAAACCTCTCAGCATAAATCATATCTTGATAATGTCTATCCATTTACAGGTGAGCAGACTGGATTAATGTGGGAAGATGACTTATTCAAGGTCACAGAATTTCAAATGCTGAATGACATTAAAACCAAGAAGCATTAGTTGTTTGACATAACCAAGCAAATGATATCAAATTCTACTGTTCTAAGAAACTGTTCTATTGTGTTTTTCACTGTCATTGACATGATATTTGATAATCACTTCTAAGTAGATAAAAGTGTAAGTTTTTTGACATTCAGATGTAAAACAAATGTGTTTCTGTAGACAGCTACAATTTTTTCACTGTGAAGTTGTTCTGTTCACTAACTCAATTTATACTACATGAAAGATTCCAGACAATATATGTCAAGCTTTTACAACTAAATACAGGACTGATATTGACAGTATCTGTAGCAAATTACCGCTTTTAAGTTTTAAGTTTTACTCCCACCCACTCCTGACATTTCATGACCCTAAATCTATGATGCATTACATAATAGAAAAAAAACTAATCTTTTAAAAGCCATCAACATTCTGATAGTTATCTATACTATGCCAAAAAATAGCCATCTTATTAGGGTTTGGTTCAAGTGGAAATCACACTATTTATCATTTAATATATCATGATATCGCCCAATATTTCTTAAGAAGGGTTTTAACTGGTTCTTTAAAAAAAAAACAATTTTAGATGTAAGAAAAAACAAAAACACCCCAGTCTTGATTATCATGAAAAAACCCCATCTGTTTCAAATTATTAAGTTACTTGTTAATGATAACTACCATATATCACGATATGGCTATATTTTGGTATTTTTTAATCAGACGATATTACAAATGATAAAGATCCCTATATGGGTATTTAACGTGATACCAGTATATATCGCCCAGCCCTACATTTTACGTCCTGGCTTTTGTTTGTGTCATTTGTTGTCATGGGAACTGGCCAGTTTCCCTCAATGCATTATAAATAAATGTTTGCCATAAGAGTCAACAAATTTAAAAAATATATCTTTAATGTCAGCAGCAGATTGGCCGATGTCTAGCTGTCAGAATCATGAAGTTAATATAACAGCAACAGACATTTAACACCTAGAAAATAAGTTTGATTTCCAGATATTCCTTCCTCAAAAAATTGAAGATAGTGGTTGATGACATTTCTATTGGGGACTTAATTTAAGTTAAATTACATGCAATAAAAATAGGGTGATACAGAAGCTGTGAGAAACAGATAGCAATGAAAGTCTAGTGAAAAAAGAATTATTATCACTGCTAATCTGATTAAATACAGTATTTCTTTATCTTCAGTCAATAGACTATCTTAGTTGAACAATAAAATTAGAGATGTTAGGTTAAATGTGTCAATAATTTACTTGTGGGTTATGTCAATATGAGTCTTTCAATGTCCTATACATGTCAGGTCAAGTAGAATTTTCTTGACCAGATTCAATGTAAATCTACATTGGAGACATGTAGTGCTTCTTGTTGAAGACCAACATCACACCACAGATGAAGTTCTTAAAGCTGACATGAAATGTATGATGTATAATGAATATACAATATATCCGAAGATGGTCCTTTCTTCACAAGGTTCAATGCAACACTTGCATGTTACATTATTTGTTCTATACAATATCACTATCACTAAATACAGAAAGACATTGAAATGCAGAGTATCAAGCTAACTTGAGTCATTCTCATCCTTTCACAGAAAGAGACAGCACTTTCTTTCCTGCTGTATTTGTCTAAAACTAATCATAAAGAGGTTTTCTGACTTATCTAATATGTACAATCAGATATCAGACATCAGATAGAAAGAATACAATGGTTCACAATGGGGGATATTTATAGCTTAAAAGTCTATATTTCAAGAAAACTGCTGTCATAAGGAATTTGATTTTTTTTAATCATTCATGAACTGGAATACCAGAATACCAAGTGTTCAGGTTTATCAGGTTTGATAACAACAAAAAAGAGATCACAAACCTTAATCCCTTTATCTATAATGATTTTGCTCTCTTGTTACATGTCACTTGATAATTTTTGAGTTATTATGCTTAACCATATGAAACAGGGTTACTGGTTACAATGAAAATAGATTGCTTTCTTGAGCTGTCTTTATAAAAAAAAAACACTGTCATTGTCAATACTACAATAAACAAAATATAAAAAGTCGATCTTTAACTTGGGTTATGTTAGAAAATGGCTTATCATGGATGTCTACTGAACTTAATATGACAAACATTTCCGTCAACAAAGTTAAAATGAAAACAATTAAAATATTGTAAGAGATTTGAAGTCCTCGTTAACACGTCATCAACATGATGTTAGATAGTCTTGTTGACCTTCATATAACAAGCCAAGATGTAAATGTTGACTTTAAGATTTGAAATCTAGCTTGTTCTCCACGTGACACAAATAATAGAAGACTTATAATAATCTCTCTAGTCAATTGCCACTGTGATTCATCTCAACTTTAAGAGTCTAATGTTCGACTATTTCTTTACAATTTTGGTCAAATTTTCACTTTTGGTGTCAATGTCCTGTGACTTTTTTCAGAAAATAAAAGAACCTTCCGAGTTGTCAAAGGCTTACAAATGAGTGTTACCAAATTTAACTAAATGTTCTAAAGATAATCTAAATAAAAAATGTTCAAAAACATCATAAACTTTCTAATAATGCCTAAGCTTATATAAACTAGTTTAATTTCTTAAATATCTTAAAAACATTTGGGAGCATAAAAATCCATAAGACAGAATAGCTTGATCATCGTTACTGTAACCTTAATGTCATTCTTTAGTTTTCAATGGTGACTATCAAGCAAGATGTCAAATTTATTCAGTAAACATTTATAACCCAATACTGACAATGTTGTATTCCTTATTCAATCTTATATTGTATGAGTCGTCTTACAAATATACACTACTTAACATACTCAGTCTGACTGTCATCTTGATAGGAAATATACCCATTATCTTAACCTTATACAAATTTAAACAATTGTAACCAAATTAAATTATTAGGATATCTTGCTAATCATTAAATTTAACAGATCCATAGCATCATTTTTCATTGCTCATACTTTATAATTGATATACTTCCTCATAAGTTCATTAGTTACACTCTCAATGTAATACCAAACTATTATTTTGAATTTTGTGATGTGTTTTGTTTTATTTGTTTATTTCATCTTACAAGTATGATTGATTCCAACATGGTCTCTAACAAAGACTTTTAAGTTAATGAGACTCAAGTTTTTGCTAGTAACAGTAGAACAACTGATGGCAACTCTGAATTCTGCCTGTCACAAGATTGGCCCCCTTAGCAAAACATGACCTGCTAGAAGTTCAAGCTTGTTTCCCAATAGGTAAGCTTATATATAATATAAATCAAGTTTTTAGTGAAAGTCAGTGAACTATAAAGTGAGATTTGCCCTAGGGACTTTGGTTAGAAATAAGGTCATATTGATTAATAATTGATATCATATCTTACTAAAACAAATATCATATAAAGGACATAATTCAATAATTTTATCAGCTCAAATAATTAAAGTCATTGATCTATATTTCAATTGACAAAGACTGTCAATTCCTGAATGAAAAAAAGGGTCCATTGAAAGTACCGCATGAGAACAGTTAAAATACCTCATGACACATGAAGTCAATATACTTTCAAATAAATTTGACATAATTAAGGGGTGAATCATCCTCATCTATTATACCATAAACATGTATTTCTAAACAATTATTTCAATACCTCAACTGTAAAAGTGACTCATATTTTCCCTATCTACATACTGACAAATAAAGTTCTGAAACCGAAATCGAAAAGCTGTCATTGTTGACTACCAATTCTGAGAGTGAAGCGATGCGCTCTTCCTTGTTCTTACTGTTAACTCTGTACCAGGAAATAGTACAAATAACAGCCTGATAACTGATAAAAGTTATTGGTGGTCAATACAGTCAAATTAAATATCTTACATATATAGGCAGTTTACATATAACAGTTTCTTTAAAGTATTAAATATCTATCAGTTTCTTATAGTTCATAATTATTTCTTAAAAGAATTTTTCAAAGAAAATGTCTATACTATACCTACCAGTGATTAAAGAATTTGACAACAACCACCTTTTTCTTTTAAAGGACTTGTGTTCATTTCTCTCACAATTTCAATAAAAACTTCATTCACATTTTGGGTACTTTTAGCAGAGGTCTCTAAAAACGGGCAACCCCAAAATTGGGCTAATCCAGCACCCTCATTTGATGGCACCTCACGCTGTTGTTCCAAATCAGCTTTATTTCCTACAAGAATCATGGGAATTTTTTCGATGCCTTTGACACGAATAATCTGTTCTCTCATTGTCTTTATATCTTGAAATGTCTGTAAACTGGTTATACTGTAAACAATCACAAAACCTTGTCCATTTTTTATATACAAATCTCTCATGGAGGCAAACTGTTCTGTCCCTGCAGTATCCAGAATTTCTAGAACTGATGGCGCTGAATCCACCTCAATTTCCTTCCTGTAGAAATCTTCAATTGTGGGATCATATTTTTCCATGAAAGTTCCTGACACAAATTTAACTGTCAATGCACTCTTCCCTACACCCCCACTGCCTAAAACCACCACTTTATACTCCTTCATGTTAACTTTGATTCACTCCAGTATAAAACACAAAAACACCATCTATTATCCATACAGCAATGATATAAAGATTTATTCTGATTTTCCACCACTACTCAGATCCAAACTATTTTCACACTATTTTTAAGAGATTAATGAAAATAAAAGACACAATAGTAAAGTCGAGTGTTAATCCAGTAGATTTAATACTGTCATAAATAAATTAATCCAAACTGACCCAAATAGAAGTTAATCCTATAGTCTACAGACTGACTAGTGATTTGTGTACAGTAGTTTGTTTTGTCAAATAACGTCAATAAAAGGTTGTCATAAAACTGTCTTACTCTTTAGTCTTACTAATACAATGTTTCTCAATCGACACTCCTCTCTCTCTCATATATAGGATGATCTTTACAATACACTGAAAGAATAAAATTATAAAATAAGATGACAAATGAGAATATGAATGAGTTATTCATCCATCCTGAATTAAACTAGTTTATTTCCAATATGATAAATCATGTTTAAAACAATAAATCAAAATGAGTCATTTTTTTCATCAAATTTATTGTTTTCTAAATCTGGTTTTTAGATGCAGCTGTGCATTTCATATTTCAAGTTAAAGTGACAATTGAAGTAATGAAAAAAAGAAGACAATATTGGACACAATTGAAGCCAGCATTTTTATACTTGAAAATGACTTCTGTATGACCAGTGAAGAGAGCCAATCAAACTTTTTTCATAATGTTATGTTGAGAGTTTGCGATTCAAATATGTCCATAGTATTTATTACTGGTACTATCCATTCCTGTCTGCAAGTGTTTTGGATATTCAATAACTCATCAGGATCTGATTTATACTACAGCCAAACATATTCATTTTTTATTTTGAAAGAAAACTAGATCCAATTTTAATATAGGCGTATATAGTACTTTAAAGGGACAGATGCACCATTTTGTCGATTGATTTGAGTTTTGAATATATATGTAAATAGTCTTCAGAAGTACTAGAAATGTATGAAAATAGCATAATTTCTTCAAAAATATCTCAAAATATGAATTTCTTTTCCTATTTCTATATACTACAGCGTCTCAAGATAAGAAATCTCATCTTTTTAACTTTCAAACGTAGATAATTCTTGACACACATGGATTTGAAGGCTCAAATTTCGACGGTAAACTGTGAACACTTTGACAGATTGGCTTAGCATTTCTGAGATTAGGGAATGCATCATCAAAAAAATGGTGCATATTTCTCTTTAATCTGGCCCACAGGGAAATTTGATTACTAAATATTGACTTTCTGTTAAACTATTAATCGTGAAGAGTCTTCATACTGTGAATATTCTCCTTGTTGATTTCTTGCCCCTATTCATCAAGTTGGCTTACTTTGATTTTAAAACTAAAATCTATTCAAAGATTACTGGTACTATGGAAGTTGACATACATTTTCATTAACTAATAACTGTGATAAGGAGTTTGTATGATAAACGCATGAAAGAGCTCAGTTCAAAGGAATAAATTAAATCAGATGACATCAGTCTGAGGTCAATCTATTATTATAGTCTTTTACAAGCTGGAACAAACAGCATTTCATCAGCACTTTTTTATTCTTGACAGAGATGGTAATGGTGATTGAAATTTACCAAATAAAAAAACTTATTTCTATGTGAAAAATACAACCAAATAAATTGTTACTAATAAGTTACCATTTCAAGATAGTTTAAACAAAAAATATGACAAAGTTAGCCAACAATCCTATATGATAATTATCCAGTCAGAGTATGGGATTGGGTCACAAAGTCAAGTGTGACAATGCTAAAACTGGGGTGGAATTACTTTAAAAGACAGAGTATTGGATCTACTGTCACCTAATACTAAGGATAATTGCATGATTCTGACGTCGATTAATTTAAAACCCCAAGACAAATTGTGACAAAAACATAATTTCGGCAAACGTATGTCAGAGTGTGATGAATTCAAATTAGATGAACAAGTGCGAGAAAATCAAGTAGGCAAGACAAGAGAGTTGGGAGGGGTCAGAGTTGAACCATTATACTCACAAAGATAACCTTTTCCACCGGCCACAAGCAATTCAAAAGGCAAACAGTAATTTCAAATCCAAATATATTCTTCGGCTAAGACTAGTAAGTTGTTTCTTGGTCACAAATCCGGTTAATTTGGTTGTATACTTGGTACAAATGCAGAGCCGAATTTCGCCTTCTGTGTCGCCATTTTGGGTGGGTCGACCTTGAACTTGAATTTTCTCGCCTCACTCGTTAGAGATCGTGCTTTGAAGATAAGCTTTGCCCTAGGTCTAAACTGGAACCCTGTTGTATTTATCGCTCCACTTTCGGTGCAAAGCTTTAGATGGAATGGCGGACCAGTTTAGGCCTTGGAGATGTCGATTCTTTGGTTATTTTCAAACAGGCCTTTATGCCTATAAACTTCGAAACTTGAGTTTGAAGACCTTTCCCTGTTTATAAATTGTATAGGCCTAATATTTGCCGACTTAGGCCCAAGCCAAGGGAAACGCACTTTAGTCGTTAAATTAATTTTTTGGCCCATTTATAAAAAAAATAAAATTTGAATTATCAGTAAGCCTATCAGCATATAAATTTGTGTAGACTGTGGTTACATTATAAATGAATACCACACACACGTCCTTAAATTTCAAACGAAAATGTCACAAATTTAAAAAATCTAGGACTAGGTGTACTTTTGTTAAGCTGGTATTCAGTCGGGTGGGGCATAGACTTATTTTTAAAAAAAAAATGGGATGATAGTGGGTTTTTTCATATTTCGAGATCATTCAAGTGTTCAACCAACCAAATGCATGTTCAAAAAATGTTTTGTCTACCCCATGCAAGAAACTCTCAGTGGTCAATGGGAAATAATAATAACATAATAAATATTCCAGACTACAACTAATTCTCAAACATTGAAGTAGCTCTGTCGGATGCTCATGGAGGCAAATTTCTTGACAGAATTTGTAAAGTTTATTATCACAATGGATTCTATCAAAAAGTCATAAAAATCTAAAAGTATTATTTTGTTCTCCGAAATGCGTTATCAGGATAAACCATTTCCTGTAGGAAAGTTAGTTAGGAAAACTTACAACTTCCGATAATTAAGACTCGAACATCACGCCTGCATTCGATAGCTCAATAATGCAGACATGATAATCAAGACACAAAGAAAATAATAATCTAATAGATGGATTTGGAGTAGGAGTGGAGTATAAACCACGAATAAGGATCCTAAGAATAATGTTCTAATAACAAATAGAATCTTAAGATGTCAATTCCGCTATCCATTGTCTCCGCAACTTCTCCCGTTCAGTAGCTGCTGTCCTTCTTGGTCTCGCCTTTGCAACAGGATTACACTCCACAGGATTATCGTCCATGATATTAGAGTTACAAGTATCCAGAATTTCATCTGGAGTAGCATCATCTTGGGGCACAATTTCAGGATCCGTGAATCTAGCATTGATTTCTAGAGGATACAACTTCTGGAGAGGTCTATGTATGAGGTTTACGATTCTTGTTGCTTACACGAACTATCGCACCTCTAGCGATACCATCGGCACCATTAATAAGGTTTTCTATCATTCCCGTTTTCCAAATTCCTCTTGGGTTATCTTCGTCATGAACCAAAACGATATCACCCTCAGATACTCAAACCAGTATGGGGCAATCTATGGTTATGGTAATGCGAGTTTCTCAGTTCCACTAGGTACTCTTTCCGCCATCTATTCCAGAAGTGATTTAAAACCATCTTAACGTGTTTCATCATCTTACTTAGATCATCTTTAGGAATATTGAAATCATCATCATCATCATTTGGTAAAGGTCTGTCTGGTAGGCTTGCAATTCTATGACCACATATCAGGTGAGATGGGGTAAGCGGTTCTTCGATGTCTTCTGTCGAAATAAAAGATATCGGTCTAGAGTTCAATATCATTTCAACTTCTGTTATGGCTGTAAAGAGTTCGTAGTAAGTCATTCTCGCTCGAGCACATGTCTTTTTCAAACATCCCTTTACAGATCGTACCAGACGTTCATAAAAACCTCCCCACCAGGGAGCCTTCACGTTATGTTTAGTTTAGTAGTTTTGGACCATCTTCTCCTTTAATATCTTAGTTATCTCCCGCTCCGCAGGTTTAAAGGTACTGGCGTTATCTGATACAACAACAGATGGAATAGATCTTCTGGCTGTAAATCGTCGGAAACTTCTCAGGAAGGCTTCTGGAGTTAGATCGGGAACAATCTCTCGGGTGACGCGACATGTGTAAAGACACACCCAAACCTTTGAGTTTGTGTCATCAGTAGATTTGGTGTAGAGGCCCTAAATAGTCTAAACCAATGTAGGCAAATGCAGATGATTCAGATACTCTAAATTCGGGAAGGGGTGGTGTCGGTGGTGTCTGGTAGGGTTTGGCTCCGAATCGTTTACTGGGAATACAGGAATATACAAGTCGCCTAACAAACTGTCTATCACGCGTGATCCAGAATCTCGATCGCAATTCTGCGAGTGTTGCTTTAACGCCATCGTGCATCACTCGCTGATGACAATCACGTACAATAAGAGTTGTAAACCAGTGTTCAGTGTCCAATAATATAGGGTATTTTGAAGAATAACTTAACGAATGATCTAAACGTCCACCACATCTTACTATCCCCGAATCGTCAACAAACGTGTTTAATTGGTGACACAACCTGTTGTAGTTCTTTCGATTATTTAATAGTTTCTGAACATCCCTTATCCACAAATTCTCAGACTGCTCAATGATATTTTGAACTCCCACAAACTCATTTCCGACCACTAACGTAACCGAGTTTAATTGTTTCCGAAAACCAAGTTTCATCTCGCACAGGCAATCGTCTTTGAATATGTCTAGGTTCATATCGTCAAAACTTGTTTCTACTGCCTGTTGAGCCTTAAGCCAATCTGGTCCAAACCACCATAACGAGTTTGGACCAGATTGACTAGGATTAATTCCCCTTGAAAGAATGTCTGCGGGATTATCCTGGCCTGGACAATGTTACCAGCAAACTTCACTTTTTGGTATTAACGTTCGAATCTCATCTACATGGTTTTGGACAAATTGTTTCCATTCTTTATTAGGTTGTGTAATCCAAAACAGAGCAACCTTAGAATCGGAGTAACAGATCGAATTCAATAAATCGATTTCGGGATCAAGAGCAACTTTGATATTGTCAATCAGTCTTGCTAACACGAGTGCCGATAACAATTCTAACCTAGGTATCGTCTGTTTAACAATTGGCGAGACTCTCGTTTTTGAAGCGACGAACCGAATATAGGTATCATTGACAGTAACAATTCGAATATATACTACAGCTCGGTATGCTGATTGAGAAGCATCACAAAATCCAATAAGTTGGTACGAAACAGGATCATCGTAAACATCAAAAAGATAACATCTAGGTAAACATACTGGTTGCATGGAATATAAACCATCAACTAGACTGTCCCATTTTTTCTTGAATATTCCATCGAGAGGTGTGTCCCAGTCTCGCTGATCTTTGCAGAGTTCTTGAAATAATAGTTTGAACTGGATGATTACAGGTGATACAATTCCAAGTGGATCGTAAAATTTTGAAGCAAGACTAATAACGTTCCGTTTTGTTTGTTCCAACGTATAAAGCTTCAGAAGCTATATACTGTATATCAAATATCAATTCATCTTTTCCATAGTCCCATCTGATACCTAGTATTTTCTGTTCACCATCAGGATCAGATGCAGTACCTGTTGTGTACGATCCAAGTGAGCTTCTTGAATAAGTCTCATCTTCTTCGAACACTTTGGAATCCGCTGGATCTGGAGGCATGTTCGATTCTGTGGGTATGTGTTCTTCGCTAGATTGAATACGTTGTCTTAATCCTTCTGAATTGGTGAGAAATTTTCTAAGATTAAAGCCAGCGTCAGATAATCGTAACTTCGATTTCAAATAAATGCTGTATGCATCATCTACGCTGTCGGATCCAGATGTGACATCATCTACGTATATAGAGTTGAGGAATTTTCGAACAAATTCCGGATCTTCATTTTCGAATTTCTCCATATGATGTTTTATGGTAGCGTTCAGCAAAAATGGACTGGATGAGACGTTTAAGATATCTTAAGATATTAATCTTATGATCCCCTGCAATATCATCTATCCACAGGAACCACAAAACATCCCTATCTTCATCTGCCATTCGTTACGCCACTCGATATGAACGAAATCTCAGCATGATGTCCATTATTTTTTGGGTAAGAATTGGTCCGGTGTAGACACAATCATTTAATGACGGTCCGGCTGATCTAGCCGATGCATCATACACAATTCTGAGCTTTGTCGTAGATTTATCTCTTCGTAATACAGGATGATGCGGAATATAGTGTATGTTGCCAATAGGTATTTTAGTTTCTTCAGACTCATGAACTACTTCGACTATCCCCTTCCTTATCTGATCTCTAATGACGTTATCATATTTTCGGAATATTTCGGGATCGCGTTGAAGACGTTTAAGTAGATTTTGGAGACGCTTTAAACTCAATTCGTAATTATCCGGAAGCACGGGATGAGTCGTTTTCCATGGTAAATGGACTTCGTAGTAATTTTTCTTGAAGGTAATGGTTTCTAAGAATTCTTCGTAGACGGATTTGGACCCGATACCGATAGACTCCAAGTCCCAGAACTTCTTCAATTGACCAGTAAGACTTTCATCATAATTCACCGATTGTGTGGAGCACTTAAGTACATGTGTTGTGATAAGATTGTTAGTTTGAACTCCACGGGTAGATTTCCGACAATCGGTCCAGAGAGTACCCATCCGATTCGTGTGTGTATTGCTTGGGGACCATCCTCCCCCCGTAAGATCCTGCCGGTAACTAGATTCCAATAATGGTCGGAGCCTATCAGAATATCAATTTCTAGTCCGATTTCACCAGTGGTATAGTCAGCCAACCAAAGTCCGGATAAATGAACATATTTTCGATAAGCAGGTATAACAAGCTGGTTCTGTAATGGGTCACAAATAAATGGTACCACGAAGGCTGTTAAACTCATATCAGTTCCATCGTCCGTCTTGATACACAAATCTACCAAATCAACCGCTTGCAAACCTTCTTCCTTTGATCCAAATGTTTTAATTCGAATGGTTTGTCGTCCGATGGATGGTAAGTTCAATGCATCTCTCAATCGTGTGGTAATGTACGATCTCTGGCTACCCCT